GCCAGTCCCTAGGGAAGGTCGGGGCGCTGCCACGGGTGTGACACCCGCCACCTCAGCCGCGGAAACATCCACCGACTGCCAAAGCCCGGGGCCTGGCGCGGGGGGACCCCGCTGCCCGGGGGTTCGCGGGACCGCGGTCCGGGACTCCCCGCTCCGAGCCCAGCCCCCCGCACAGCCCCGCCCGCCCCCGCCCGCCGCTCACCCAGAAGAAGGTGGAGTAGGTGATGAGGGTGAGCTTGAGGCAGAGGTAGGAGAGCCGCCCGCAGTACCGCGCCTGCTCCGGGTCCCCCGCCGCCATCCTCCCTCCCGCCCCGCGGCACCTGCCGCCGCTCCCGCCGCTCCCGCCCCTTCCCGGCTGGAGCGGGGCGGGCCCGGGGGCGCCGCCGCTTCCGGAGCGGGACCGGCGGGGACACACGGGCAGCGCCGGGGAGGGAGCGGGGACCTCCGGCTGCGGCGGCTGCTTGCTTCTTTTTTTTTTTTTTTTCGCTTTTTTTTCTTCTCAATTCCCCCGGCAAACACGCCTGGCCGCTCGGCCGGGGTTAACCCCCCGCAGCTGGAGACGGCAGGAAAAGCAGATCCGGCTGCTCCAGCGCTGCCAGAGCCACGCGCGCACCCCCAAAACCTCCGCGGTCGCCACTGAAACAGCCCGGACAAAAACACTTCGGTGGGAAGCTCCTGCTGCCCGTGGGCGCCGGGATTTTGGGTCGAGCATCCGTAAACACGGCAAAGCAGGATCCCTGGGCGCTACGCCGGCACGGTGGAGCAATACCAGGGCATTTACCTTTCCTTGTGAGACCCACGCGATTGTCCAGCACGTCCTGCAAATAACAACAGTTAATGGGCGTATTGCACTGGCCACATTTTCTGCCTGCACCAAGGTTTATCCACGTCCCGCTGCTGTGACAGTGGGACAACGCTGGGTCTGACGCAGCGATCGTGAACTGCAAAACGCCATTCATGCCTCCGAGATGAAATAAGCCTTTTCGAGCCCGCAGCGCTACACTCCTGTCCCACAAAGGGCTATTTTTCCCCCGAGGAAAAAAGTCTCATTCAAAGTGGCAGACAACTGTCACAGAGTTGGTTGTTGCATCCTGGCCCGGAGCAGAGACAGATGGCGTTGAAAATCAGCGTCTGGTGTCAGAGGAGATGAAGTGAGGCAGCATTTGTCCTTAAGTTACCTAGGAAAGCGACTGGAAAACCTCCGAGCTGTGCACGTAAAACTGTGTAAGCAGTCAGTCACACATCATTTCATTGGGTCATACAATACACCAAAACCTTGTTTATAAAGGCTAAACAATATCCCTGGAAAATTCTGTTTTTCCATGCAGTGCTACATTCTGCTTCTGGAAAATAAATAATCCATCCCAGGACCCAACCGGTAGCTCTTCACCTGTAACGTTTCTGATGAAAATTCAATGCCCTAGAGCATTCATCCTCTAAAATATCACAACTTCAATTTTCAGACAGATTTGCAAATATCCGTGACACTTACAGCGGTGTGCAGGCTGGAAATCACATCACATACCGTGTAGGTGCTGGGAATTAGAGTCTGCCACAGGTTCTTCATGTCTCATGGCTGTCGTTCACATCCAAACATGTTCCTGTCACTTAGACATCTTCCTTGTTTGAGTATTTAATTAAATTAATAGTTTTGGTATGACTTTCTTAATGCCTTGCCTGTTCATTTGTGCTGATTTCTGCAAATAAAATTTCAGGGCACGTCCAGCTGGATGGGGAAGCTGATTAAAAGGAGCATCCGTTTTCCTGTTGTTTTCGCTCTGAACAGAGCCAATGCATCAAAACAGGTTCCTGTTATGAAACTGTATGAAAATAATTGACTAATTCTTTGCTGAATCCCAGACTTCATCTGTATATTGAAATGACAAGATTTCTGGACACAATTAGTACAGTTCAGCAGCAAACAGTGGTTAAAAGTAAGATATTATGAACTGCCTGTGGTGCTGAGGGTCCTTCTTGGTTGCATTCTCTCCCCCTCAGCCCAAGGCAGCACAGAACTGCAGTTTTCCAACAAGGAGTCTGGCATCTCTGCCAGCATCGAGGCAGATCCTGCATTACAGCATCTGCTCCCGGGACCATCCAATAGCTCAGCTAGTGGTGGTTTTGTTCATGTTACGGATCAGTAACTTCCACATGTCCTCACTCATCTCCAGGGCTACCAGGGTTGTCCTAAGGACAGTCATAAAAAGCCATAGTCTGCAGAACATTTGACTCAGGGAATTAGGAGAACTGCAGAAGAGGAAGTGAACCCACAGTTAGCCCTGCATGAAAGTGTGTCAGAAAGACACAAAGCTTTTCAGAGCTACCAAGAGGCATTTTTCTGCTTTCTTCCAGCCCATGCCTGGCTGATAAAGCTGCAGGCCAGCTTCACTTTCCCCCACCCAAAGTAGATGCTCACGGTCCTGCTCTCAGACCTGTTCCCTGGACAAAGGTTCTTCCTCCCAAAACAGAGTTCAACTTGCAATACAATTAAAGCCTCTACTGCCTGTATTACCTTGTATTATGTTTCCAAAACACAAAACATCCCTCGATCACCCTTCCCAATCTTGCAGACCTGCATCTTTTGTTTGCACCTCTCACCCTTTGCTCAGACCTGGGATCAGTGACTCAGCACAAGGAACGTTTGGCCTTGAACAATCCTGCCCATAATAAAAACAACTGTGAAAACAGCCAAACCCAAAAACCTTTCTCCCAGATAGTCTCCTTCTCTGGTACAACTCCAAAATCATTGGAGAGGTGGGTTTTACCCACAGTCCCAGGCACATGCAACTTCCCTGAGGAATTTGGGGCCCACCTTTATCAAAAATCACTCCAGTTTTCAAGTCAAAAGGCTGATAGTACACACTAAGTCACTGGCAGGGCTCCAGGATGATAACCTTGTCAATGCACAACCAGCAAAGGAATAAAAGGTGTGGGTGTGGATAAAGGAAAGCAAATCCCTCCTGACTTGTACAATGAAATATTGACCAAAGGGTGACTGCTCTCCGATTATCACCTGAGTAACAGATCAGGAAGCAGGGCAGACAGTTCAGAAGAAGGTTCCTAGGAAACCTGGGCACTCTGACTGTCTTCAAAGTCAGCCAAGAGAGGTTATGGTTTCACCATTGAAAGGTCAATAAGTACAGCCCTTTTTCCAAGTGCTTGCTTATGTTTTGCTTTCCACAACTGATAAAGCACTTAAACTGCGCTCCCAGCTAAACATATGGAGGGTTTTGCTCAGATTCTCCTTTGAATTTGCAGAGATTTGAGAGATGAAGAAAAAAAATAATCTGAAGAACACTATTAGCTGTTGAATTCATGTTGCAAATCAGGAAGAGCCCTCCTGGACTGTGCACAGAAAGTGAAAGGTCCATAAGCTGCTTAATGAGGTGTCAGCGGAAGACTTTGAAGGAGAGCTTGGAACAGCCTTGCAATGCATGCTGGAAGATATGGGCAAGTGTGGTTTTGCAGTTTCTAGGTAGGGAAGTGAGTGGAATTGCCTGCAGGGAAGTGAGTGGGATTGCCTGCAAGGAAGTCTACTGTGAAGAGAAGGAGATATTATATGTAGTACTACAGGTATTGATTTCTTAAAAAAACAACATTTGGGCAATACCATATCTGCTTTAAAGAGTTGCAGGTGTTAGGTGATGGGTAATCTCAAGGTTGCCTCCAGAAATTAATGAAGAGTCCAGGCTGAGCTGGTTGAGAGGATCTTGAATGGATAAATACTGCCCTGTTACAGGAGAGGCTGGCACAAGCTGCAGCTCCAGGAGCTCGAAAACTACTGCCCTCCCAGCACCCTGCATGCTTCCTGAATCCTGAAAGCAGGTTTTCATACCTGAAGCACTTTCAGCTTCCAGGAGAACAGGCACGAGCCAGTGCCAAGTACTCTTGGAATTCTCAACCTCAGTGTGTTGCTTATGTTTCTGCTCTGAACTTTAGAGCTGGCAGCGAGCAAGAGTGTGTGCTCTGAGCAGAGTCAGGGGTTCCTCTTCCCTGTGAGGACCCGAAACTTCTGCACTACATTTCTAGAGCATACCCTGGGAAAGGGGATGCAGCCATCCAAAGAGAAGGACCTTGCTGAATTGTATTAAATGTAGCTTCTCTCTTGCTGTGAGAGCTCGTGGGAAAACAAAGGAAGGGTCCTGGAAACTCAAGGATTGCAGGACTGGTAAACCTGGCAAAGTCACTACCCTTGCACTTACGCCTGTAAAATCCTGATACAGCAGTGAGACCATTTCAGAGGTTATTCAAAACTGGGCGGGGCAGGGGGTAAAACTTCAAGTACCACTTTGCCACATTTCATTTGATGTCAAATTGGTTGTTTAGTTTTTCCCCAGAAGAGACTCCACCTCCTTTCAAAGTCCCCTTAAAACCTGTAGAGATTTTATCCCAGCGCGACTCCTGCCTCGCGTTTAGTAGTTACACAGGGAAAGAAAAGCAAATGTCCTCAGTCCCACTGCAGAGGATTCAGACACCTGGTTCTTTGGAAAAGAAAAGCAAATGTCCTCAGTCCCGCTGCAGAGGATTCAGACACCTGGTTCTTTGGAAAATCCCTGCCCTGGAAAAGGATTTCCACTTGGATTGAAGTGTTTTATGGCTTGATACTTCTACTTATATTTTCTTGACCCTAAAAGTAATCTAAAGGAAGACACCGCTTGTCACCGACCTGGAAAACACCTTCCTTCCCTCCATCTTTTTAGTTCCTTTTTAGAGGAAAAATAAACTTAAGGGAGAGAGTTGTTTGTTAGGTTTTACTTGTCAAGTGGAGGTTAAAATGCCAGGGAAGAAGGAGGACGCCCTTGGCATCACTCATCTCCTCCTGGAACTGCATTGCATCACTTGGAAAACAGGATGAGAGGATGAGGCACCTCAGCCTGATGTCTTTTTAACAGCCCTTAGTTACATGCATGGAAATTCATACCACCACCATCTACTGCAAGAAAATGAGCAGATGCCAGAAGATTTTCCTTTACACTTAGACGAAGAAGAAAACCACGGGCATGTTGTCTGTTTTTAATGCCAGCAACGTTTCACAGGCTGACTCCCTCGAGGACAGTGGCAACTGGACGTGGGTGACCCAGTTCACCCAGCCAGGATGGAGAATTGCTTTGTGGGCTATCACCTATTCCTTCATCGTTATCACATCCATCGTTGGAAACGTCACCATTATCTGGATTATCCTTGCACACAGGAGAATGAGGACCACTACCAACTACTTCATCGTGAATCTGGCTCTTTCGGATCTGCTGATGTCTGCTTTCAACACCATCTTCAATTTTATTTATGCCAGTCACAACGTCTGGTATTTTGGCGAGGAATTCTGCAGGTTTCAGAACTGGTTCCCCATCACTGCAATGTTTGTGAGCATTTACTCCATGACAGCTGTGGCTGCAGAGAGGTAAGAGGAGAATGGAGAAGATAAGGTCCAAAAATCCCCTGTAAGTCATAAAAAATCACTGCAATATTTTGTGCAATTGGCCCCCAATTTTGTGCAATTGGCCCACAATTTGTGCAATTGTGTCAGATGTCTTATCAGCAAAGTGGGACAAGTACCAAACTATGGGGTTTGATGCTAATTATGATGTGATCTTCTGTTTTATCCCTGGCCTGAATCACACACAAATCTGTAACAAGGGGAAGTGGCTGGTATTTTGTTGTTCCCACATTATTGACCATAAATTGTTTCCCAGCCATCCTGCAAACTCTTCTGTGGCTTTGGGGTGGGGGGTTTTTGTTGTTCGTTTTTTTAAACCATCAGAAGGATATTTCCAGAGAAATGAGGATACGCTGTGGAACGTTGAAAGTATTAGCATCCTCAGTCCTGCTGTGAGCCCAGCAAAACACCAGAAATAATGGGAATTAGATCAGAAATGGCAGTCTGCTCCCATAGTTCACTAGAATGACTTATTCCAAGAGGGAGTAATAACAGCGATTTTGTTTGACTTCTGGGGTAATTTGGTACTTCCATAATATTCTCTTCCATCTGCCAAGTCACTTTTACTTGAGCTTAAATTTGTGGAGTCTGACTGTGTTTACAGCTCATTGTTAAATAACATGGAGCTGTTTTTCTTTTAAATAGAAAGTGGCCAAAAGTTCGTGGGAATTTCCTCCCTTACAGGCAATGGTGTGTACAAGAAGTAGAGGAGGTTAAGCTCCCTTCTAGGCTTTCTACCCTCATTCCTTCCATCCTTCCTGTCTTCCCTCCGTTACTTCCACTCTCTGCCTGGCGCCAGGAATATTTCTATCTTTTCCATACTGTGTCCCTGCCACAACCCCACGGGTGAAGGTCTTCCCTGGGACAGCCAAACCCAGCATCGAGAAACACTGGCAGTCCTTTATCAAGCCCTGCTGTTGACTTTGCAGTTTCCTTCAGGTTTCCTCTGTTCCTTATCAACCAGGCCCCTTCCAGCTCCCTCGGGAGGGGAGCCAGTGTCCCTGTGGAGCCATCCAAACAGCGCTGCTCTCTGAGTTATCGGGGTCGCTTCCCTAACTCCCGCCCTGCTCGCAGCTCGCTCACACCGGCATACCCAGCCTCGGGGAAAAAATCAATACACAAATCGCACCAGACAAACAAACTGGGAGAGGAATGAGGGCTTTCCCCTTTGGTTAATTCCTGCTGAAACCCGCGCCGGAGCTGGGGACGCGGCACGGGACAGGACAGTGGCCCCTGCGGCCGCTGGAAGGAGCGCTCACAAGCACAGGGATAGGGATGAGTGACGTGTTTGTCAGTCTGCAGCTGTCCAGATGAAAGCAAATCCCTATTTGGAATCAATGGCAACTCACTTTTAGACTCAAATACACTTTTGCTGCTCCTGGCTTTAAATCGAGGGTTGTTGGTAACTGCTGCTTTTTATACATGTTGTCTGCTAAAGGATATTATTTTTAAAAAGCCATTTCAACCTGTCCTCATGCTTCCCTGCTCTTGTTCCTTGGGGATTTTTAGTGAAAGCACCTATACAGCCAAAATCTCTTTAGTCACATGGCACAGACCAGAAAGAAAACTTGGCACCTCACTGCAAACCATATTTAGCTATTCTTTCCTTAGCCTTAAAATAGACCCTGACACTGTCTCCTGGAAACTCGCCACTTCCATTTATTGTTATGAGAACTTGCCCACTCAGGCTCCAGTGTTTAACTTCGATAAAACAATGTCTTTTGAAGCAGTTTATTGTAAGGAAGAAGGCTAAGAAGTGACAGCTCTAAGTCATCTTTGTCCCTGTGGAAAAGTCCCTGGTGATACTGCTCACCACTAGGTTTAGGATCGCTCTGTTTCCCCATTCCAAGCTGTTTAGGGTTTAGGATTACTCTGTTTCCCCGTCCTGGAGCAGCTCTTTCCACTGCAGTGCTCCAGGCACAAAAGTAGCCTATTGGTTTCCCATTCCAGTTAGCAAAGGCTCCTAGGACCTGTCTGGAAAGTGTGCAAGCGTGCCCAAAATTGTGTTTTGTCTATATGGGATGAGGACCAGAGAAAGGGTGCCACTACTGCGGTCCCAGCATCCTGGGATGTCACGTGGAGCAGGGCACAGAGAGAGAGCACAGGGAGCAGGGGGGCAAAGGCAGTGCTGCCACACAGCAAAAGCGACCAGGAGATCTCAGCAGGTTTGGTAAATCTCCCAACTTGCAGGACCTCGCCTAAAATCCCAGCTCACCTCAGGGGTGCACCCCTGGCTGAGTGGAAAGCCTCCACCCAGCAGCCCTGTAACACCTCTGACGTGGGCTATGACAGCACAGGGACTGGCATCATTTATTCCCAGGACTTGTCGTTCACCGAGAGCCACAGATCATCATTTCAGGCACTTCTATGGGCAAATACTCTGGAGAATATTCACCACTTCCTGACCAGACTTGAGCACTGTATAACACTGCCTACAGTAAGCTAATGAAAAGCAAGGTGACATGAAAATTTTATAGCTAAATAAGGCTCTGCTGCCGTGTGGCCCTGGATCACTCCCTGTTCTGCAGAGCTCCCTCTCACTGGCCTGGCCAAGGGACAGAACAATTTGCTATGATTTTTGCTATGAAAACTAGGAGGCAATAGGCATTTGCCACTCTATTTTGGCTTTGTAACAACCATGACAAAGAACAGGGGAAGCATGACAAGAAATGCATAATTGATTATGTACTTGTTACGACACCGTGTGTTTCCACACAGGGAACTTAAAACCAGAGAGTGCCCCGGGCTCGTGAGTAATCCAAGAGTCAGAAGTGCTGTGAGGGCTCTGAGCAGGTGTGGGAAGGAGGGGTCAGCACTTCCCTTCCACTGCAAGCACAAGTGCTCGGGCTTTTACAAATGGAGGTGGATAACACAAGTTTTCCACAGCTAAAAATCAGTGGGAAAAAATTCAGGGTAAAGGATACTCAAGACCCCCGTCTGCTCTTGTGATAATATGAGGCATCAGAGATTGGCATACTTAGGAGGAAACAGCATAATAGACTGTGCTTTTTTTGGTAAAGAATTTGAAAAATTAATTTAAAAAAAAAACGGAGAGAGAATACTTTTTACAAGGGCCTGGCATGACAAGACAAGGGGGAATGGTTTCACACTGACAGAGGGCAGGGTTAGATTGGATATTAGGAAGACATTCTTCCCCTATGAGGGTGGTGAAGCCCTGGCACAGGTTGCCCAGAGAAGCTGTGGATGCCACACCCCTGGAAGTGTTCAAGGCCAGGTTGGACAGGGCTTGGAGCCCAGCTCAGGTGTCCCTGACCATGTCTGGGGGATTGGAACTAGGTAGTCATTAAGGTCCCTTCCAACCCAAACCATTCTGGCGTTCTATGAAAAATTCCATACGGGGAATATTTGCAAAGACCATATGCAGAAGATAGAGATGACTGCTTCCTCCCCAGACCAGAAGCGTCCATCCCCACGGGTTTAATATATCCTGCCCTAAGACTTGCAGTCATTCTCTTCAGAAAGGATTCAGTTACATGATTTATGGCCTGGAAGCTATCAAAATTTCTGTATTAATAAAGCCCACTATACAGTCCTGCTGAGTTTTTACAGTTGCTCTATGTGCTGTATAGATTACCAGTGTAACTGTAAAAGCCTTACCCGTGTTTCTTGCAGGTATGTGGCAATAATTCACCCCTTCAAGCCCAGGCTCTCTGCTGCAAGCACCAGAGTCATCATTGGGATAATCTGGCTGGTGGCATTTGGGCTGGCATTCCCACAGTGCTTCTACGCCGAGATCCTGATGGACAACGGAACCACGAAATGCATCGTGGTCTGGCCTGACGACGCTGGATCCAAGCACCAGCTCACGTAAGAGAAACAATAAAACCCCCAGTTCAGGCAGAAGTTAACTAAGGAAATTAATTTCATCTCAAACTGTTGGTTATGGGGAGTGCTGGGAGAGAGGGCAGGGGAATAGAGGGCTGGGCAGCCAACCTATGCTCAATTTAAGCCAACTGTGGAAAAAGCTCCTAGGTGATCATGGTTCAGGATAAAGAAAGGCCATGTGCCATCCTGCCCTGCTTTGAAAACTGGTCATAAGGTCTAGAAACCCTAAATGCAGAGCTTGGTGGATTTAAGAGAAAGGAGTGTGAAAAGTCTCTAAACAAGCAATAAATGCTGGTTGCAAAAATTTTGGATTTTCTTCCTCCCTGGGGTAGGAGGAAACTGGGTATCTTTAATGCTGATAAGCCATGTAATTAGTTAAAAATTATGCTGCTCTTTTTTGGGGGAAAAGGAAAATAAAACCTGAGAGGAGCATGCTTCAAACATCCTGAGGTTTTATAGCCTGATTTATCTGAGCACACATCTGCGCCCCCAGAAGTTCCTAAGCCTCACAGAGATTTCCTCCTGCTTTTAAACAAGATTGTTCAAACAGATGAAACAACCCATACCCCACATGTAGGGGATCTGCTGTGATTACTCATTATTCAAAGCATGTGATACACAGAGCAGTCTGAGAAATTTATCAAGCAAAACATATTTATGCAAAGTACTAATGGAAGAACTGCGGAAAAGGAACAAATCGATTAATAAAGTGGAAACAATTTTTCAAACCAAAACCACATGCTAAACTCCCTGAGTTCACTCTGCACTCTGAATCCTTTTGCCCAGCTCCATGCACATTTTTCCTTGCTCAGTCTTAATCTCTGGCAGACAGCTGGATGCCTTCTAAGGTTAAGTTATTACCAAACTAACAGGTTTTCACACTAATATGTGCCAAGTTCCAGGAGCTTCACATAATTTTGGCCAAGCTGCAGCATATTCAAACACCGATAGCCAGTCTCCAGAGTCACAGAAGAGCAAAATCAGGCTCACATCACGTTGGGTGATGCTCCTCCTGGTTGGTACCCCTTGGGACATGGTGTGGAGCACAGTGTGCAAGGCTCCAGCCAACTGAGAAGGTGGGAGAGTAGATAATCACTAATAGATGAGTCACTGATGGCTATTTCATTCAGATGAACAGTGTGAGGTTTATTTCTCCCACATCCATGGTTTGGGAAGGATTGAAACAAGTTTCCCAGCATGCCAACGAAATCTCTGTGGGCTGGAAAGTCTGGTCCTGAACATGGCAAATAGCAGGGGCAGGTTCTTTCTGGGATCCCCAGCTGAAGAGCAGCAGCTCCTGACCACAACACATCATTCACTCACTCACTCTCCCTGAACAGCCTCATATCTGCGGGTTTCAGCATCTCTCCTAGAAAGGAAGTTGGAAGCACTGCTCCCCAGAAATCATACTGAGTGATGGATTTGCTGGGACAGATGCCTGCAACACAGACCATGGAGAAAAAGCTGTGTGCAGCCATTCATGTGCTAGTCCAAATAATGAGGGACAGAAATACTAAAGAACCCAAAGAAAACCCAAAAGAATGGAGAACTGGGTTCCACTGTTGACTGTGGGTCCTCCAAATCCTTTGCAATTGAGTAAAATCAGCCTTCGGGATTTCTAGATAACAGAGCAAAGGAAAATCCTTTTCTGTGGGAAAAATGTGTGTAATTATGATTAGAAACAAGTAAGAAAAACCCCAAACAATGCACTGTGACTGCCAGTGCCTGAGAAATATTGGATATGAAGGGAATGAATCCACAGAAGTTTAACCAGAATGAAGAACCTTAACAACAGAGGATTTTTTTTTTCTGGTGACAGGTTAACTTTGCAGTGAAGCAGTAAAGCTACAAGACTAAAAGTTCCTTTTTGCATGTGCTCAAGCTTAGCAATAGGATGTATGTTTAGCTTATATCCTCTCCTCTTCCCTGGATGGGAACCCTAAAAGGGCTTTGCTGCACTCCACACATCATTAGACCTTCAAAACCAGCACTGCTCTGAGGACAACTGGAAAAGGTGGAAGACAGGCAGGGACAAACTTGCCACATTTCACAAATACAGTATTTTTCTATATGCAGCCAGTGCTGTGGTATTTGCAGCCACCCCAAGGAGCAAACACCACCGAGGGCCCCAACACCCATTTCAACAGTGCTCTCAAAGCAGCTGATGTGGGAGTAACCCCAGAGCCTTGTCATACTGAGAAAGACCATTTCCACCCACCCAGCCTTTTGGGGTCACTGCCAGCAGCGTGTGCCAGAGCCCTCCTGCCTAATCCTGGTTTTCATACTGTTTATGTTAATTTGACAGCTGCTGTAACTGAGTGAGCAGGTTGTTCCCTTCCCATAAATGGTACTTGCTTAAAATAATCAACCCCCAGCACGAGGGAACCAGCAGAAGTTTGTGGGGTAACGTGGAAGGCTGGGGAGGGCTGAGGTAAAATACAGCTGCAGGAAATGCCAGTCCTTTCAGCTGGAGCAGTAACCATTAGCCTGTTGGTGATATGTAACTGTACACACAAATAAAAACAGGCAGCTACACAAAGAGAGGCAATATTCCTTCCTCACTCTCTGCATCTTTGTGCACACTGTCAGCAGCCTTTTGCTGTCCCCAATCCAGGTTTTTTCCACTGTTGCCACTACTGCATTCATCAAATTACTGTATAATTTTTGGACTATTCCTTTTCCATTCCTGTGATTTAAAGGCTGAGAGTCTCAGCCATCTCTCTCCTGACTGCAGTGAGATAGCAAAGATCAGTGCACATGACCACGGACTGTAACCTTCCGATAAAAGATAAATTATGTTACTCTGTCTTGAAAGAGCAGTGAATCCAGCAGCCCAAGGACTCCTCATCGCCCCACAAGAGAGATGAGGTTTTGCTGTTTACAGAAGTCTCTATTACAACGGTTGTAGGCAAAATTTCTGCTTTGTGGTTGAAGTTGATGGGAGCCAGCCATACATGTCCAAAAGACAATTTCTGAAAGAGCCCTCTGAGAGCTATACCGACTGTGAAAACCTGCTTGTTCTTCTCTTTCAGGTACCACATTGCCGTGATCGTGTTGATTTATTTGCTGCCTTTAATGGTGATGTTTGTTGCATACAGCATTATAGGAATCACTCTGTGGAGCAGTGCAGTTCCAGGCAACCACCTCCACCGAGTCCGCTATGAACACCAAGTTAATGCCAAAAGAAAGGTCAGAAGTGAAACTTAAAAATCATTCCCCTCAGCACACCAGCTTTGCTGGCTCCAGTTCCAAAATGGAGCTTGGGGCGGGTAAAAAATCTTGTGGGATTGGGCATGAAAAGTTAACAAAATATTTTGGGCCAGGGCTAAAGAGCATCCCCCAGCAAGTTTGAAGAAAATGGTGATTAGATGCACCAGCCAGCCTGCAAGGAACAAAGGCTCACAGGAGCAGTCCAGTTCCCAGCAGTCCTTAGAGAGTAAAGCCTGGTGCCCAGTGAATCCACACCTTGCAGGATAAACCAGGGTAAAACTCTTGACAGGGTGAAGAGGTTTCAAAGTAACAGCAGTGTTCTCATTTCCCTGCACATCTCTCTGATGTAGAAGCAAGCAATTCCTCTGCAGGACTTGGTGTATCAGGAAACATTTGCTCTAACTCCCTCCCTGTTCCCAGTTTCCAACGCCACAGCTAGTTTCTTTGCCATAGCAGCCCAGCTCTACATTCCATACATTGCACTTCGTGAGGGTAAACCAGACCCAAAACAAATGCAGCACTTCCCATTGCCCCAGAAAGCTCAGACAACCACCCAGAGGCCCCAGAATAAACCCCTGGCTTTGTTTTCCTAGTTTGTGAAGACCATGGTGGTAGTGGTGATCATTTTTGCTGTCTGCTGGCTGCCCTATCACATATACTTCATCCTGGGGAGCTTTAAGGAAGACATCTACCAGCAAAAGTACATTCAGCAGGTGTATCTTGCAGTCTTCCTCCTTGCCATGAGCTCTACCATGTACAACCCCATCATATACTGCTGCCTTAACCAGAGGTGAGTAGTGTGCTTGTGTGTGCACAGAGAAAATGAAAATCTCAGTCTGAAAAAGCATAAATCTCTGGAGGAGAGAACAGCTGTGATTTTCAACTGCAGTCCACAGGCTGAGTGGATAACTTAATTTACACTTTGCTGATAATGTGAGATGGGGCACCCTCTGAGCGAGATTTTAAGTCAGCCCTTAAGATTTCCTGCCTCGGAATAAAATGCAGGCAAGCACATGTAAAATCAGTGCAGCCACATTTGCACCCAGTTCCACACTCAGACTATCCTACTTCCAAGGGAGGAATCTGTAATCCCTACAATGCATCTGCTGAGCTAATGCTGGGCTGGCTCAGCCACCTGCTCCTCCCAGGCCAGCCCCTCAACACAGCCCTGAGCCCCCCACAGTCCTGGGGAAGCAGGAGCAGTCCAGGGGGCATCCTGCTGCAGGTCCCATCCCGGCATGCACGAGGGAGTCCCCACGAGGGAGCAGCTGGGAGAGCACAACCCCATCGTGCCAAGAGATGTCCCTCTTGCTCTGTGCTGGTGTGTCGGGATGCAGAGCGTGGGAGCTGCTCCAGCTGCCCGTGGATCTCCATGCCAAGTCCTGCATCCCTAGCCCGCCTCTCCCTTCAGCCTGGCTGCATGCAGTTTGAGGGTAACCAAAGGCTTAACTCCAGAGGGACGCTGAGAGGCCTGTTTCAAACAGCACCCTGCCTGTAAGCTTGCAAAAGAAGACGGTTTTGCAGCCCATCTAGCCAACCTGCATTTAACATGTAACACCCAAACACATTCTCTCCCTCCTTTCTCAGAAAGCAGACAGCTTCTTCATTTAATAATTCATGTTTTTTTAAAAAAGCTTCCAGTGGGTAAACACATGTATTTTCCTCAGATGCTCTCAAATGCTGTTACCAGCATGGTCAGCATCATCTACTGAGCACATCAAACAGCCTGCCATTTCATTGATCTTATATATTTACTTAAAATATATGGAAATCTGATCATAAACTCCTATTGCACCTCCCTCTGTGGTTTTATACATTTAGCTCTTTACCTCTCTCCTTTGATTTCAATAGAAATTTTTTACTTCCATGGTCATCCACAGGTAGAACCAAGTCATGAATTTGTTCATTCTCTGTGCAATTAAAAAGGTCATTTCACCACTTAATTTCTTTTGTCACATTGACAGGTTTCGTTCTGGTTTCAAGTTGGCCTTCCGGTGGTGTCCGTGCATAAAAGCAACTGAAAAAGACAAACTTAAACTTACGTCCCCATCCCTTTACCAGACAACCCACAGGAAGTCAAGAACAAGCAGTTTCGACACAGGAACTCAGGTGAATGAGAAAGAGAAGATATCATTTACCCTCACCCAACTAAAGCTCTGATTTCCTCCTCCTGGTTCTGGCTCTATCCTCACACACCATGTCAGGGCAGCAGATTTGCAGAAGCCCAAGGCAGATCGTTTTTTCTGGGGCAACTGTTTCCTACAAGACTTCTTTAGATGCCATCAGCATTAAAAGCAGCCTGCTGGTAATACTTGTGTCCATGTAGGTCCAAATATCACCCAGCTATGGATGTAAGTTTAGCTCTCCCATACATCAACAACTGCAATACAGAACAGAGATCATGCCCATGAGGTCAGAAGAGCAGCAGACCTGAGGCAGTGCCCATCAGTGGAACAGCAATTATTCTCTTCCACATAGTGATCTCCTGCCTTCTCTTCCACCAAGACACTTAAATCTGGAAAAGAGGTGCTGGAGCAGCAGCAGAGGTGCTGGGGCTCATCTGGCCCAGTTTGGATGGACCACCAGGGCTGTGTGGGCAGCTAAGTCCCATGGCTCAGCAGCCCCAAGGCAGGTAAGACTGTGGATCAAAGCTTGTTTATATCAAAGGCAAATACTAACACCTCGACACTGAAAAATCAGGCCTGCCCTGAAAATTTTCTGAGTTCTGGAATTTTCATGCCTGCAATTTCCCCAGCACTACCTCTCATGAGTTAAAAAAGAGAGAAACAGTTCCTTAAGACGTCATCATTGCATGGATTTCTATAACCTTGTACCAAAATACGATGTCATTTTCCTATTAAACTGTTAAACTCCTATTAACAAGGGATTCCTCCTTCACATAGTTAATTATGGAGCCTAATTTGGAGAGTGAGGCTCTCTGGAGAGTCAGCAGCCAGGTGTGGGCTGCCCACTGTTTTGGTCAGTGCTCATGGATCCATTCTGAATCCTTCCCCTCCTTTTAGTCCTAACAGCAGCCTGACCCATCACTGTCTTTTCCCAGACAGTCCCTTCATCTTCTCTTTCCAGACTTACCCCATATTTATCCTCACTGCTCTTCTCTTCTCAGATATGAAAATAAAGGCTGAAACATGTAATCTTCCAAGCCTGAGGCATTTATGTGCAGGCATGCAAAACAGGAGGAGCTGAAATATAAATATTATATAAAAGTAATACAGCATTTAATACTGGTGTGATAAGTAGCACCTCACAATCACCTTCACCTCTCACAAATGGTTTGTAAAGAATATCACAGAGCCAAACCTTAGTGATTAAAAAGCTCCTATAATGTCAACAAGATCATTATCTCAAATATTCCCCTTTGCTCTGTGAAAGTAAATCTACAAAGTGCTTCCAGGCTTAAATTCTGCAGTAAATCCAGAGAAATGATTTGCGGCTTGAACCGAAAGAGTACTCAGGGATATGATTTTCCCAAGCCTGTTTCAGTACAGAAACCAGTAGATATATCTTCCTTGTCCACTTCCCCACCTCTCTGGCTGCTGTGGAGAACAATAATGTTATGCAGAGGCCCAACAAACTTGTCCCACTAATGGGACAATAGAGCCCAGGGCTGTATGCCCTTCTGGAAAAGTTCACAATTTTATGTCATTCCAGCAGGTAGTTTCTAGTCCAGAGGTTACCTGGCCAGCCCTTCTACCTGGCCAGCCTGCTCCTCCCAAGGTTGTGCTGCTGGTGTGTGCAGGGGGCAGAGGGGGAGCAGGAAGAGGCATTTACAGGCAGCCACCAACTGAAAACCAGCTGGGAGGGATGCTCTGCCAGGCACACATCTCTGGGATCAGGCTAGAGGTGGGCAAAGACTTCTGCTCTGAGGAACTGCAAGACACCTACAGAGTTCACTATATGATATACATAAGCTGTACCTCCCCCTGCCCAGCTGATGTGATTCTAAGGCAGTTTTCTAATGCAGAGCTTTTCAGACCAAACAGGCCTACCTTCAGCATCCCCCCTTCCCCTCCACCTTCCATCACACCTGAACAGCCAGAGCCTATTTCAGATGTCACACATGTGCTGCCAGTGCAGCCCCTGTGCAGCCTCTGACAGGCACCAATGTCTGCTGACAGCTCAAGGCATCTTTCTCTTGTTTGATGCAGAAAGCAGGGGGTGATTTCTTCAGGTTGCAAAAGGAATTCCCCATGCTCTGGTGGACTCCCACAGCAGATCCTGAGGTTTCATCCCATAGAAACAGCAACAGTTAAGGGAGCAGAGACCCTCTGAGCCCCTGTTACACTGGAAGAAAAGGCATGCCAAGGCAGGCTACATTATTCCTGTGATACATGAGGTAACAGGAACACCATGCTCCACAGTAAATACATGCAATTCTTCATATAAATATAGACAGGATTAAATACCACACAGCAGTAAAGACCTCCAGGGCAGCACTAAATCCCTCCTCTGCATGGTTTCTTGTGCTCTAAGCAGCAAAGCAGTCCCTGCAGTCAGTAAAGAAAATATTTGAAGAATCTCATTTTTAAGGCAAAGGAATGAACAAAAAGCACAGAACGGGGTTCAGAAGTTCAGAAACACTTTATTTTGCCTTCTGCTATTTTCTTAAGAAAACAAAACAAAACAAGGTCTGCTTGTTTTAAAACTCATTCAAAAGGCTTCTGAGAGAACCCTCAGAGGAGGAAGGAGCAGATGACATTACAACAGTGGTATGCAAATGGTCTTTTCCCCAGGAAATATAAGATTTTTGTGTTCATATTGCAGTAACTACAGCTTAACAATTAAGAGGACTGTGATTTTATTCACCAAGCCTAAAAGCTTCAAGAAAGACATCTCAGTCATTGTTTGGATAACACTGGAGACATTTCTTCAGACAGTTATAGCGTGTGATTCACTTGGAACAGTTTCCTAGGGGTAAGAAGTAGTCTGGAAATGAAAATCCCACCAGGTGTCCCTTTGGAAAAGAACTACTGTGTCTTATCAAGCACATCAACTATGGTCCACGGTAGGAAAAGTTGCGCTGTTAGAAACACAAACTCACTCCCTATTTGTTATGAGCTGGATCCAATAAACAAAATGACCTATGCCAGCATCTCCAAAATTCACAGTCACCCTGAGACCGAGTTTAACTTCCACTTCTCATTCCCCTCTACCCTGCACTGAGCCTAGTTCTCAGATGCCAAAGAGCTCCAAACCCAGGTCCCCAGGCACGGCTCACACCACCCCTACAGCACTGCCGACTACGGGCAAGCACAAGATTTGCAAACCTTCAAGCAATTCAAATGCAACATGTACCCTGTGCCCAAAAAGTTTCTCACCTTCTTCTGTCTCCTGTTTGGGGTCATAGCTGCACATCAAGGGTGTCAGAGACTATTCAAGCTGTAATGTAAAATGCGCGTTATTGGAGAAGCACAGCTCTAGTGTATGCAAAAGGGGCTTTCATCTACAACAACTCCAACACAGACTGTGCCAACCAGTGGTGTAGGAGCACCTGACACCAGGATTCTGCAAATGTTAACCCTTTGCACACAGGGAGCTCACCGACTGTGACATGATGTATCCATCACTGTGTATCTGGCAAAGCCTAATATAATCACACTGCTCTCGGTGCAGTGGGCTGAGGTTTTCCTGCACTGCAGATCCCCCTGCACAAGACAGGGCATGAGGTGCCCCCAGACAAGCTACGTGCCCCCTAAGATTTGGGCGTTGTCAGCGCTGTGCCTCTGCTGAACTACATTAGGAAACACGAGGCATGGGGACCTGGGTGAAATCCACCCTGTTTGAATCTGACCCCGAATGCCCGGGAATAAAAACACACACACAAAACACAGGCACCACTGGGATTAGGTTGCAGCTCTCCCTACACAATAGCTCTTCCCAAAGCACTAAGCCACCAGCCAACAGCACCTCTTCCAGAAAGAACCACTAAACACCAGTTAACGCACATCAAAAAAGTTTAATATTTTCACAAGTATCACGTAACACTAGTACCAGAGCTACTAGTGTGCAAAGTAAAAAGACTCTCTACCTTTGCAAAACCAGTTAGGCATGCAATTTTTCAGGTAGACACACACTTAAAGCTGCAATGACTGTTTGTGACTCACATGTTACTTTACAACATTCACTCACAGTGCACCATAATGCATATTGAAATGTTATCGGTAGGTAGGGCAATCCAAATCTTAGAGGAGTGGAATGAGGACAAAGAGGAGTAGCCTGCAAATTTCCATCTACTTTCTGCAGGAAAAGGCAGCAGGGAAAACCATGCAGATATCTCAAATTCATTTTTGGTAGAAGAGTGGGAATTAAGGACTACTGTGTGGTCTCCCTCTTTGCAGAAAGTGCTGTGACTTGCAAATGTTACTCGACATTTACTTTCCTAACTGTTTTTCAATTTCAGTAATGCAACTGGTATGCAAGTATAATAATGGCATCAACTCGACAGAGGACAGGGGACACCAAGTGTGTATGATCTTTGCTGTTGCTTTCATCCTTGGAATAAGCTGCAGCCAATTTTGGCTTGGTGGGTTGTCTATACGCCCAGGTCCTCAAAGGCAAGATCAAAATCAAACCCTCCTATTCCTTTCTGAGCACTAACTCTAGCTGAGTGTTTGTGTTCTGAGTGATTGCTGAACAGTATTAAAGATTAAAGCTCTGTGTGGAAGCAAATACCCATTTAAGGCGAGAGACGGAAGTGCTGCATCCCAGGGACACAGGCGAGCTGCAGGTTCCGTGGAAGGGCAGCAGCAGTGCCCTGATCCAGACTAACAAGAAGAGATAGGAAATACTTTTTATAAGAACTCTTAAACAGAAGAGCACAGCACAGCCGTGCAGGGACCATGAATCTGCCGATCTCGCAGGTCTGGAGGTTTGGATTACCCCAATCACCAACCACTTCATTCTACTCTTTGGGGATTTCTTGCCGAAACGTGGCGGATTTCGCCCAGTAACACAACACTGCTCACAGAAGCAATGGGAAATACCAGTGGAACCAGATCTGTGGGACAAGGGTGTTTACTTTTACCATGACAGAACAGGCATCAAGGAAGCGAGTAAGTCGCGGTGTCAAGTCCCACTATAGAGTTACGTGCGTGCACAGTGCTGACACACCATAATGTTTTCACAACCGCTTTAGACGGAACAACAGCAGGTAGATATGCAGGAGGGAACTGTTGCTTCCCCTTCACTAAAAGCATCAACACCCAGGTCTGGTGGTCAGCGTGCTGGCAGTGCGCTCACAGGGATGCTGCAAAGGACACACTCGGTACAATGCAACGGTAGCTCTCAATGCACATCACTTGGGGGCAATTTTGTCTCAGACAACAACCGAGATTTGACAACTGCAGAAATTATAGACTGATTTTTTTCCATGACCTACAGATGGGGAAGGTACCAACAAGGTGAGTAAGAAACATGCAGATTGGGGTCCAGAAAAAGGAGATATTATTAACAGCACACATTCTATCTTGTATCCTATTTTTTTTCTTTTATGTCATTAGTTGTAATTTCTTTTTTCCCCCGATAAAGCAGTGAGTTCTGGGTTTTTACCAGTTCTGACTATGCAGTCGCTGCTTTATGAGAAAGTGCTCACAAGACAGAATCGGGGCCAGGGCTGTGGAGTTCAGTTCTGCTCGGCCTCACGCAGCCGGCATCCCACCGCTGTGATGAGCGCGGCCCCCTTCCCGCTGCCATCCTCTGACAGCAGGAAGGTCACGTCGCAGTTGGGTGCCAGGTCCTTGACTGTTTGGTGCATGATCCTTGAAAAGCTGTGAAAGGAAACACAGGCAGTGGGTAAGGGAGGCCTTGCAGCATCCGCAGAGCAGAGCGCTGCCATGGGCCTCTGCGCTGCATCCCCTTTCACCAGGGAAAGAACTGAAATGTTGGAAACTAGGGTGGATTTGAAGACTGGGCGCAGTAGGAGTTAAAGGAAAGAAGCACTGGCATCCCGGCCCTGCCTCTCTGTCTGTGTGGGGTTAACTCAGATCACTACTACCACAGCAAAGGGAAGAGAACAGATCACATAAGTCATCTCCTTCCCACCCATCTCCCTCCATGCACACTGGAGGTGGGCACTAGTCCTCTCCTCCTGCCCCTGCTCTTTTAGACTCCTACCCTCACCTGCATTGCTCCTCAGCAGCCCATCTCCGCTGTGCCCAGAACAGAAACATCCTCCACAGAGGCACCAATCATTTCAGCACTGCTCTGTCATTGCCTGTGCGCAGCCAAGAGATCCTTCCCTCGCTGTACAGCTTCCAACTCGTCCAGCAAAGGCTGTGTCCCCTTCAGTTTGTCACTGCCCCAAGAATCTTTCACAAGTCCTTCTTGACCCTCTTGTTGCCCTTCAGAAAGCCCCAAATCCCCTGATTAAGACTTCTTCCCTGGCTCTTATCCTAGCAAGTAGGAGAGCCCAGTTTGGTGTGTCAAGAGAAGGGATGTACACGCAACGCGCTACAGGCAAACAACTGCTGAGAAGGTAGATACTCACTGAGGATGTAGTTTGTACAGAGTGCCATCCACACCGACCGTTATCTCCAGGCGCTCCAACCCTCTGTTCTCCCTAATTTTATCTACAACGGCAGCCATTCCAGCGCCACACAGCTGAGCTGCTCGCCTTGACACCGCCCCGCAGACCGTCTTGACAATGATACTGTCGTCGCAGGTGCTGTTGAGCCCCAGCTGCTGCAGGATGGTTCGCACCTGCAGCAAGGCCAACCTGTCACTGCAGGAGAGCACAGTGGTAAAACTAAAGGTTCCCCTCACACAAGCCAGTGCCACAAACCCCACTGCACCCATGGCTGCGTCCACGCACCCCCACCAGGCAGCAGCCTTTCCTGACAGCACTAGAGACCTCAGGGAATGCAAATTCATTCGCCCCAGCACCATGGCTGCAGTGTAGGAGGGGGGTGCAAGCAGCCACAGAGGCTCCAAGTCCAGCTCTGCATTGCTTCCCCTTCTCTTTTCTTACCATGAGGTGTTTCAGGAAAATATTTTTCATTATGAATTTGGGGTTTTTTTCCCCCATAAAGACTCAGAGATTGCTTTAAAATACAGAGCCCAAGCAATAAAAACACAAAAACACCCAGTAAAAAGTGCCCACTCAGCTAGTGTTCATTCCATCCCACAACTATACCTACACACACACAAGGGGCCCAGGAAAATGGCTTGATTTCCAAACAAGCAAATAAAACAATATGGTGAGGGAATCTTTAATGGCCCTTTCCAGGATTTAGCAGTGAGCACTGACAGAAATTCAGATGATGCTGTAAAGAGTCCTTCTGCGCACACACACAGAGGCTCTTACTGAAACCAAAATAATCTCTGGAGGAGTAAGCAATGCTCTCCAGCTGTCCCTCCCCTTCAGGAGTGTCACCAGCCGAGCACCACCACAGTATTTCACACTGAGCAGCCTCCCATGCTCTTACCTCTCAATCTGAGAAAGGAACTTGGTTTCAAAGATATGCCTGGTCTTCAGTGTCTCTGAAATCTGGCCTCGGAACAGGAATCCCCGTTTGGTGAAGTCGATCAAAATATTGCGGACTATTTCCCCCAGGTACATCCCACTGATCATTTTCTCATACCTGCAAGGAAAGATAGTGGTGCAGCTCAGAGGAAACCTGCTCACGTTTGCAAAGGCAGCATCACAGGTCTGTCACCAGCCAGGTATCCTGCCCACACACTTTGGGGACGTAAGATATGTGACCCCATTCACACAGAGAGGCCATTTACTAGAAAAAGTAGGCAAGAAAAAGCATGAAGACTTGGTGGGAAGCCTCATGAGCCCATCTACAGACACTTCCTTTAATTTCTCACTGCCATGTTCCCCTGGCCAGGCATGTTAATGACGGCTGGTATTTCTCCCAGATGAAAGAAATGAAAACCTGTCACCAGAGAGCAGAACGGTGCCCAGTCAAAAGGCACATTAGCCATGCATCCCCCAGGGACAGCCCTGAGTGGACCCCAGGAAAACTTGTCTCCACATTTGGGAGCCCTCTTGAAGCAAGGCTGAGGCCTTCAAACAGAAAAAGTTCAGTGGTTCCAAGCAGCAAAATTACAGGGAAACTAACAAGGTACAGTCACTGCAAGTGCAGGGTTTTTAAGGGAGTCCTGTGCTGCAAAACCAACCCTGTGGAAGATAAAGGATGTGAAAAGGTACATCTGGCATGTTCACAGGACCACTGACCCATAAACCAGCAAGCTGGAGGTCCAGGGTTGGCTTATGCTCTTCACTTAATTCCAGCACCTGGTTTCCAGTAGGAAACCAGTAGTCCCAAAATGACAGGGAGGAACCAAGCTGTCTCAAACCCCTCTCACACCTCACTCTGCACACAGGACCCAAGTATGCCCCCAGACTAGAGAGAGGGAATATTTTCCACCTGCAGACCTCCTCCCACCACACGACAAGGAGTGGTCCCGGAGCGATGCTCAGCACTGGCACAGGGCAGCCCTGCTTTGCATTCCCGCCCCTCCAGCACCATCCTGGTTTGAATGGAGCTTTCTGAGGTCTGCGAGTTGTGTCCTTACCAACAAACTGAATGCTCTTCCATTTCCTGAGCAGGGCCATTCAGTGATGCCTCCTTTATTTCACCTCCTGAAGCTCTACAGCAGTGTCAGTGCCCTGGATTGAGCAGAGCCCAGCACACCACCCTGCTGGAAGCAGGCCACGCAGTCCATTTAATACTGTGAACTCTCTCAGGCTTGTACCCAGCAAGAGTCCTCCCTCTTGAGTGCCTAACTATCTCAGGAATAAATTATTCCCCCTGGCAGCCTCCATGACTGCCTTTGGCTGCTTACTCCATGCCAACTCTGCTGCTGCATCAGGCTCGCCCAGCATCTGCCTCTCTGGGTCTGTTTGAGCCTCAGCTTCTAAAGAGCTTCCCATGGGACCTGCCAACTTGTCTGTATTCCCCAGGTTTTTGGGCAGATTTACTCCAATCACAAAATCTTTTTAAAAGCTCCTGGCATCAAAGTATTGCTGCAGAGAAATGATGAAAAAGTGTAGTCCCAGCATGCAGCAGTTTCAGCCCAGTTCTATCAGTGCTGGGTACACCTCCCACGAGCCCTTTCTTGAAGGGGACAGGGAAGCACTTGCCCAAACAGGAGCTGAACCCCCAGAAGAGGACCAAACTCCAGGACCAAGAAAGACAGGTTCTCTAACACAACACATTTCATCCAGAAAATGGCCTGAAATAAGAGCCTGCGACTGGCTGCAACTGCTAGAAAGCTCCTGACTGCTTTACAGCAAGCAGCTCCAAGCTCCAACCACACCAGCTGGTACAGGCTCAGGATTTCTACAGGCACAAAAAGAGAGTTCAGCTAAAAGAGATTAACCTGAGACCAAGAGCAAAAGAATGACAAGACATCTTAACCCCCTCAGTATAGCACAGGATAAGAAAAAGGGTTTCTTTGTAATTTCAAGACTTTTGAAGCAGGGACCAGGAAAAGCACAGGAAGGGAAGATCCCACAGGATAGCAAGGCTGCAGTCATTTTCCACCTCTACCTTCTCCGACTACAAGAAATCCAATTCTCTCTTAAAAGCATTTAAGACAGCCTGGCTTACATCCACAGCACACAATTTACAGAATTTATAGCAAAGTACCTTTGCTTTCCAGCATTCAGTGAATAGTCATCAACTGCTTTGTCATATATTGTCCTGATGTCATCCAGGCATCCGTTATCCCCGAACGCTCCCCACTCCGTGTTCACGCACATCCGCCCTTGCTCACCATCCACCATCTCTATGTTCCTCATCTCTTCCATGTAACAGGCATTGCTGCCCGTTCCTGGAGGAAGAAAATACTGACATTGCTCTTTGTTTGGAACAAAACAACACTAGGATCAGCACCACAGCCCTGAAAAGCCTTCTGGGGGATCCCGATCGTGCTTCCTTCTGAATGACGAAGTCAAATCATCATTTGAAATATCAGGGAAAAACCAAAACCCCACACTTTGGTAGTCCTAAACTGAAGGAGAACATTTCTGCCGTGCTGCACAGCTCAGGGTGGCTCAGAGAAGAGGCTCACCCTGGCCACCCATGAGGGTCCCATGCTGCAGGGAGGGGCAGCAGGGCAGCACTTTTGGTCCACCAACCCTCATGGTGTTTCTGAACCCAAAACCACAGCAAGCAACCAGCTGGATTTTGCAGTTAGGAACCACCCTTTCACAAAGCCCACAGACCCAGAGAATCCAGGGAAAATGTGCTGAACTGAAAACCTCAGCAAGTTCTGAGGCATCAGGGCTTTTACCAGCTGATTGCTTGGGTTTTTTTCTGATTTAAATTGCTTATTTTCTCTGGCAGGAAGGTTACTTCCATGTTGAAATGACACAATATCTGATTCTGCTTAAAGAAGATCCTAAGGAGTGTGGCAAGTGCTCCATGTACACAGAGGTCTTGGGGAGCAAAGCTTTACTAGCAATGAGAGGTAGCTTTAGCTGCTATTCAGGACGAAAAGTTTTCTTGAAGTTACCTAAGGAACTCCATTTAACCCTGCACCACAGATTCTGCATCAGTTATGTCAGCAAGTCTGTTTTCCTTTGCCGTTTCTGTAGGGAAATATATCAATACAGTCTGAGCTAAAATAGATCCTCCCACAGTACTCCCTGCTGCAGGAGAGATGAGCCACAGCACAGAGTGTGAGGGGGACGTCTGGGCTTGCAGACTGAGACTCAGGATTGCAGGACCAAATCAGACCAAACCCAGCTGTGGGCCACCACCAGTGTCCAATCTCCCCCACCAGGTGCCACCAGCCCGGCCCAGGCAATCCAGGCAGGGCAGAAGGAGCCTGTCAGAGCCGAGGGCTCTCACTCCCATCATCCCAGAAGTACCCAGACCACCTCTGACCCCCTGCTCTGCACACAGACACGCTTCTGCAAAGCATGCCTGGCAGGGCTGCAGCAGGCAGTCCTGAGAGGATGCTCCCAACGCCCCAAGGACACGCTGTCCTTCCCGTAGGGAACTCTGGTTCCTGAAAACACGCCACCGATGGAGCTGCGCAGACACGACTTCCTACCCACACTGCACTGTGCTGACTCATCCTGGCCACCTTCCAACTGTCTGGAGGAGAAATTGGTGGCGTTTTATTTTCCTACACGCCACCTCACAACTTAAAAGCTTGCAGGTGCTTTGTCCCCTTCTCTCCCACAGAACACTCATTTCTCTGGATAGCTTTGGGAATTCACACCGCCCCATGTCTCAGGCTTCCCGGGTGTGTGGCATTTGCATGTCACCCATGGAATTACTTCAGCTGTCTCGCTGCTGGGAAGGCAGCTCTCAGTCACTGCACTCTGTCTATCAGAGCTCTCCATCACATGCCATTTGGGAACTGTGGCTGTGCTTTGCAAGTTTATTCTGAGAGACCACATGCTTGAGGGAAGCTGTGGGCTACTGGAACACCCCGGCAGGGAAACTCTGACAGGCTGAACTAACAGAAACTCCAGGAGCTGGTGAGGCTGCCTGAGCCCACCTCTGCTCTCTTCTCAAGCAGCACAGTGCCTTTACTAGATAAAACAGGCAGGATTTGTTTGGCACCACAGCCTCTGCTTATCTCAACTGACTGCAGGCAGAACTAAGCTGGCTGCTGAATTTTGCTCTTTCACTCCTGAACACCCTGGCTTTATTTTCAGTTAACTACAGAGATGCCTCCATGAGAATACACACAGATGTGTTGACGTGCTGTTCAATAAAAAGCAGCTCTAACACATACCCACAATGAGCCCGATTTCACAGTTTGGGTCTTCGTAAGCACAGGTCATCATTGTGCCCACTGTATCATTCACCACAGCCACCACATCCAAGTCAAATTCCTTTGGGAGAGAGAAATACAACAGTGAGAACTCTGGGCTTGGGGCAACCATCACACCAAAGGGGACACGAAAGGAGCATACCATAGGCGATGCTGTTGAAGCACACTGGAAACAACTAAAATTATCATCCTGATTTCACACACACAGAAATAGGAACTTAATCTACCAGCAGGCAGCTAAGGCTCCTCACATGTTGTACCTGTGATAGATTTGTCTCCAGATGAAAGAATATTCCTGACTGTTCTCTTTGGCTTAGGTATGTTATGTACAGATCTTGTTCAGAGGCACATGGTAGAGGACTATCAACACTCTCTATTACAGCAATAAGGTAGCAAATCCAGTAACAAAGGTTTTAAGACCTCCTTTTCACTGGCTGACAAAACCTCTGCAAAAGTAATGTCCTACTCAGGCTATTTTTCTTCCCTTCCTAGAAAGTTTTGGCTAAGCTGGTTGAGGCATTTTAAAGACCAAGGAGGGGAGGGGAGAAAACTGTCCTTTAGGGTGCACTGAGGTGCATTCCTACAACCACCATTTTGAAAACTCGTGCTTTCTCCATGCTCTGATGCATGTGAAATTGCCACATGGTTTGAAAGAAGTCTTGAAAGTTTGGGCAAATTTGGAAAGTTAGAAGCCTCTGGGGGAAAAAAAAAATCAACCTTCTGTGCAGGACAAGAGATACAGCTCATGTCCACAAGGCACACAAACCTTGTGAGAGGGAGCCAGCCTGACCCACAAGGTCTGTCAAGTCTGGAGGGGACGGAGGAGCAGGAGGAGAAAAAGAAAACAAAACCAAAAGAAAAATCACCTCTCTTCTTTTAATTCCTTCTCTAAGCAAATATACCACATCTTCTCCCTCGCAGTCCGTAGCTTTGAAGCCTTTTGTCCAGTTGAGAAGGATACCCTAAAAAGCAAGAAAATAAGTTACCAAGTTGCTAAGACTCAGATGTTGCTCTTCATACTTCAAATGATTTAGTTTGAGGTTTTATGGAAGAGCCTCTGTGAAAAAGATACGTGGAATTTGCATCTAAAACTACTAATTGTGCTTGGCCTCTGAATTTCCAGAGCAACGTATGAAACTCACAAAAAAAAAAAAGTGTGACAGGAACAACAAACTCAAAAAAAACAAGTGTGTAACAGAAAAAATGTCTTTCTTCAAAACAAACAGCTAAGTAGACAGGAAAGTATTAAGAGCTGCACAGGTGGGGTTGGTGTAAACTCGTGGCAGCGAAGGAGTTAAACACTAAGAGAAAAGAACAAAGGCGCACTTGTCAGGGACATGCTGCAGGCCACACTGTCACCTCAGGGTGACACAGCCCACAGGCCCTGGTCCATCTGCTCCATCCCATGAGACAAGATGAACTAGGAATAGGTGCAGGGATGGACTTTTGCTTACTGCTTGTAAAACTAGGGAAGTATCACAGAGCAGCAGGTTTATATGGGGGGAAAAAGCATAATGCCTTAAAAAGTGGTATCAGCACCACAGAAAATTTAAATGCTCTTATCTTCACAGCCATGGGCTGAGCAGCATTTGCATTACTACCCTTAAAGAAACTATTTATAGGAGCAGCTCTACTGATGAGGGTCAGAGCATAAACCTTCCCCTTGTACAACCTTCCTGTAAGTGTCACATGGATGATATGAATACAGAGAAACCAGGCCTGACACAGGCACAAAAGCAGATTCAAAAGACACTAAGGAACTTACAGCATCCAGACTGGTCTGCTTGCAAGGGAAGGAAAAGGTGAAGCCAAGAGGAAGACGTGCACCTTTTATCCCCATATAATCCAGGAAGTCAGAAATGCAGGTAACGATGTGATCAAACAGCTTTAAAGAGAAAAGTCATATTATTTGAAGGTGTACATGTTACTTGCTCTTAAGAAGTTATTTAAAAAGCAGCACTGTAGCCAGAGAGAAACACAAATACCTCTTCTCCTGTTCCCTGCATCACCTCTATAGGAATGGCATAGATCTTGTTGTGCATCTCAACTGTTCTCCTTTTACCACTGCGGATTTTCACCAGCAAAACTCTAAAGTTTGTCCCTCCAAGGTCAAGTGCCAGAAAGTCTCCGTTTTCTGTAAAAGAACATGTGTGTATATTTAAAGAACCATAAGCAAAATATGAAAAAGTGCTTTCTCCAGAAAGTACTTTGACAGAAAATCTCCGAGAAACTCAGTTGGGAAGATCTTCATCGAAGGAGGATTTTAGATGCTGTTCTGATTATTCTACCTCCTTTTTTTGCATGTGTTTTTGTTTTATTTTTGGTTTTGTTTTGCTTTAAACTGACAAGGAAAAAAGGACCCACACAACCGTTCCCTGAGAGAAAGAAGAAATTTGGCCACACTGATGGGCAAAGAACTGCCCACTTAGCGTGAACAGGGTTCGTGTGGGTTTGGATTTATGAGCCCAGCCGTGGCTTTATGAGCCTGACTGTGGTTTTATCCCCTCAAGCTTTGGCTTTGCTTGCACCATGGGGTAAGAACGTGGGGCCAGCAACTAGCCCAGGGCAGTGCAGGCTGAGATCTCCTCCTTTGCACAGTTCAGATTCCTCTTTGACACCAGTTCTGCTCCCCCTCCATCAAACTCAAACCCAAACCCCATCGCCGGGAGCCAGTTTTGGGCACCCCATATCCGAGCCAGTGTCCTCCCCCCGGCGAGGTCATGCCTCTACCTGTCCCATCCGGCGTGCTGCGGACGAAGGTGGGCAGCATTTTCACTTTGGCCGTCTCGTGAGTCTTCTTCTTCAGCCCCGCTTCCATCTCCGCCCTCATCCTCTTCTTGACCTGCAGCAGCTGCTCGTGGGTGAGCTTGAACTCGGCCAGGGTCTCGTCGATGAGCCGGTGCTGCTCCGACAGCCGGTAGGCCACGGCCGTCACCATGGCCGCCCCCTTCCCGCTGCCGCTCTCCGACAGCAGGAACCGCACCTCTGAGTCGGGCACCAGGCGCCGCGTGGTTTTGTGCAGGCGCCGGGCGTACCTGGGGGAGAGGAGGTTGGTGAGCCCCATGTCTGCACGGGCTCCCCCCGAAACCTGCGCTGCCAGCACGGACTGACTGCAGGCAATGAGGACACTCATCGTGCCCAAACTACATACAGCCTCCCAGGCAGGAAAACTGCCAGGGAAGAGCAGTTCTTCCCTATGGCCTCTTTGCACTGGAATTTCTAAGTAAAGCCAGCAAAAAGCAGGGAAGAGCATCAGAGTCCCATCTCCTGACCACGAGCCCAGACGGGAGAAATCCCCTGGCTCCCCTGCTGCTCTGATCCCCTCTCCTGAGGTCATCTCCTGAACTCACTGGTTTAGATGGTGTGGGGAAACAGTTCAGAAACCAAAATTGCCCGTGTATGTTATCTTCACAGAATATGCTGAGCTGGAAGGGACCCACAAGGATCACTGAGTCCAACCCTCAGCCCTGCACAGGACCATCCCCAACAGTCACACCATGGGCCTGAGAGGATCATCCAAACGCTCCTTGAGCTCTGCCAGCCTTGCTTTGACCACTGCCCTGGGGAGCCTGTTCAGTGCCTGACCACCCTCTGGGGGAAGAACCTTTCTCTAACATCCAACCTAAAATTCCCCTGACACAACCAGGCCATTTCCTCAGGTCCTGTCACTCCCTAGACCTGCCCATCTGGAAAAACTAGGCAAAACAGGATTCTTGGAAATTCTTTTGTTTGCCAAAATTTTATGGTTTCCTTTAACTGAGGGAAACACTGTTTTCAACAAAATAATGCGAAACTGAAAATGAAACACTAACCATATTTCTGCTTTCAGAAGTTTCCTCATAAATTACACCTTCTGATTTCCACATAACTCTAAGCAGCTTAAAAATTAAAGATATTATTTGATTTAAATATTATTTGATTAAAAATATTGCTTGATTTAAAATATTGTTTTATTTAAAATATTCATTTTCAAGATGCAGAAAAAAAAGACAAAGCCAGTTTTTTAAAGGCCACGGAAATGTAAGCACAATTTTTTTCCCCTGGTTTCCAAGAATATCTTCAGAAAAGACCAGAAAAAATAGGGTTCAGCACAGGCATTTTAAAACCAATTGAGTTTAAATTGGAAAGGGATATGAAGGTGAATTTATGTAGGTCTCTTCATAGCCCAAACTAAGGGCATGAAGTAAGATTTCATACAAAGAAACTCTCCTTCTGAGAGGTCTACTGAGATCCCTTAAGGTATCTTGTCAGACCATTGTAGCTTTCCCTGATGCTGCAGTACCCAGTTACTCAGGGGTCTAGTTCTTTTCTATGTGGTTTTTAAAATCTCACACTGCTCCTTCACTTAAAGACATCTCTGCTTTCCCCTGAGCTCCCCAGCTCAGCCCAGATGCCCAGATTTCGAGTTCCTCATTTCCCACCCAAACCGGGGACTCACTGTGGGTGCATCTTGTAGAGGGAGCCATCCACGCCCACGGTGGTGCGGAGGCGGCCAACCCCCTTGTTGTCCCGCAGCTGGTTGAGGATGGCACCCAGGGTGGAGGCCACCAGGTTGGCAGAGCGGAAGGACACGATGGTGCAGACATGCTGGACGGCGATGCAGTCCTCGTGGGACGGCTCCACCCCCAGCCGCGTCAGGATCTCTTTGGCTTTGTTCAAACCTTCTTTGCTCCTACAAAGAGACAGCAGCAGAGGGGACTCCTCAGCGGGGATGTACTGAGGACTAAGGTGCATCCAACCACGGGTGTCCCTGCCTGGGGCTTGACAAGGTTAGGAAGAGAATTTCTCAGAGATCTGGACTGGGAAGCTCTATGAGGCCTGACACAAAATGCTCTAAACATGCATTCATTCACAGATGGAAACAGCCTTCCATTTAAGCCTGGTGCAAATATGCCACCTACAAAGGGACCTGGAGGAATTAAATGCTTTTTCATCATGCTGATGCTTTAAACTTGAAACAGCTTCTCTCAAGCACGAAGCACCAGCCCCATATTTCAGCACAGGCCTGAGCACACACCTAATCCCACGCTCGCTCGCTCTTATGTCTCAGTAAATTAAGCCCAGTGTGAAAAACAAAACCCTGAGCGAAGGTTGCCTAAGCAATTTCATGCTAACGGGTCTCTTTTCAGGCTTTTACAACCTCACTGAATCTCTGCCTCTTGCACTGCTTTTTCCCTCATTAGCATCCAGCCTGAGAGGAAAGCTTCTGGCAAAACTTCTCCACATCCAGCTCGGTCATTTTCCAGACAAAAACACGAGGAGTACATCTTGTCATCACTAACTGCACTCCATACATCTTTTTAAGGACTCTTGCATTTTCCTAGCACCAGCTAGAAATTTGAAGCTGCACAGGGATGTGCTTTCCACTTATAACCAAAGTGCTCTTCAGGAAGTGAGGTAGGATTTCAGGGCAAATTTTACTCTTAATAACTGAATTCCCCAATAACTGTTTTTCTCACTGCTGTTCAAAGTTACCTTGGTCCATGACACAGACCTCTGTGGTTAAGACAAATGAACACACACATTTAATGGAAAACTATTTGGAAAAGATGGTCTGCAGGGACAGGAGTAAAACGTGGCAGGAGGAACAGGCACTGTAAAAGTTACTGGCTGTTTTCAAAAACAAAAGCCAGACCAGTGACTACAGCACAAACTATCCCAGTGATGTGAATTTTAAAAACACCAGGGAAAGAGCCTGTAAGTAATGACCAAAGGGGCGATGACACCCTAAGAAACCAACTGGCACATAGCCCAGAGGTCACCGCGCAGCACCCGGCACTGCCTACGAGACTGAATGCTCTGCCTTGTCATGCTTGTTTTCCTCCTGCCCAGCAATCCCAGGGATACAGCAAGGAGCAACACAAGTATTTGCTAGGAGGCACTAAGCCAATTCACTCCTATGTTTAGCTGTGGGGTGGCAACTTTGGAGATTCTGTGAGCAGGGTGAGAGGTAGTACAGCTCATACACTGAAGCTGTGCAAACTGGCAGACTTTACAGTTCCTCTCAACACCAAAAAAGGGAGAAATCTTGGGGAGGAGGGCACAGACAGTCTGCTGGGGGTCCTCACATGCCAGCTCTGCACCTGCATGGGAGGATGGCAGCCACCCCCAATGCAGCACATCTCCCCACAAAGCAAAAAGAGGTGCTGGAAAATTAACATTCAGTGTCACTGTGAAGCCCAGGGGAAAACAGATAGATTACTCACTTTTCTATGGCAGAAACATGCTTTGTCTCAAACTTCCCTTTGGTGAGAAGCTCAGGGGTGATCCTCCCCTCAAAGAGCAGCCCCTCCTTGGCCATCTTCACCAGGATGAGCCTTACCAGCTCCCCCATGTACAGCCCGCTGACCATCTTCTCAAACCTGCAGGAGAGGACAGCAGTCACTCACAAATCCATGGGCAACACCAGGAGGCAGAGCCCAGCTGTGCCACTGCAACACCCAGCCCAGCCAGAGGTTTGCCTCACCACAGGCAAGGTCAAGCTTTCTTGAACCGCAGAATTCATATCACAGGTGGAAAAGGGAGCACGGAGCAGAAAAGAACAGAAGCAAAGTTCCCAAATAACTGCCTCACTCACAGCTGCTTCCCTGGGTTAAGAGATCCACGGTCGATCTCTCGATCAAACTCAGTCCTGATGTCTTCTAGTGAGCCGTCGTCTCCAAAGGCCCCCCACTCCGTGTTAATGCACATCCTGCCCTCGTCCCCTTCCACCAGGTCGATGTGCCGCATCTCCTCCATGTAACAGGCGTTGGTGCCGGTGCCTTTGGGGAAAGCACATCAGAAGGTGCTGACCGAGCCAGCCAGGCAAGGGGAGAAAAGCCACGTGCAGCAGCAGCAATGTGTGTTACCAATGATCAGGCCAACTTCGCAGCGCTGGTCGTCAAAGCCACAGGTCATCATCGTCCCGACGGTGTCGTTCACAACAGCCATGATATCCGCATCGTAGTCCTGAGGGAGCAACAGACATCACTGGGGCCCTGTGGGAAACACTGCTCCTGTTCATCACTGGTTTGCTTTCACAAGGAACAGGAGACAAATATCACTCACTGCTCAACTTCCTAAACGTCCCCTGCTCCATCTGCCAGTTCCCTATCCCACGTACCCAAGAAGGCAACAAGAGCAGACTGATGCACCAGGCAAACAGTAAAACAGCACTAGCATCATTCTAGACAGCAGAGACCTGCTCTCACATCAGCACCCTTAGGCAGGAAATAAAAGGGCTATACATGAAGAAAGAGGGACTCTGCATGGAGTGATTTGAAGCAGTTGCTTGAGGAGCCAATCTGGAAAATATTTCTCCTAGGATTCACTAAAACCAGGAGTTTTATTTCAAGTGAAGATTTCAATACAGAAATAATGCAATTAAATAAGTTAACCACATGACATGCACCCATTGCTTTCCAGATTCCTCAGTATGTGATTCCACCAACTCTAATGATAGTAACTGACTATAGTAAGGTTGTTTGGTGACAGCAAAACTCAGGTGTGCTTAAGAGTCCACAACTGCCCAAAGAGAGCAAACACTCTCAGCTCCTGATGAATAAAGATGTTGAGTAATCAACATATCACCTGGTTGCAAGCATTATGCAAACCCAAATTCATGCTATCTCACACTCAGTGCCTTCTTATTTGTTTAAATCAGCAACCCGGTCACCTTCACTCTCTATGAAGTCAGCAGTGAGAAACTGCAGGGAACATCACAGTTCACTGAGCCTGAAATCCCGCTTCTCTCTGCTCCTCTTCTGCCCCCAGGCACAGCAGGTGCACAATTGAGCTGAGCCCAGTAGGTGAGACAAAGTTTCTCAGGAATGGGATGCATTGGTATCACTGAAAAGCCACTGCACTTTCTCAGGTTTTTGAGACTGATAGGTTTGCTGAAGGTTGCCAGTAAAAAGACACGTCATAACAACTCAGACCTGTGCTGCGAGGAAAATCACAGCTTCCACACAACAGCTCTGACGTCACTTCATTTTTCCAGGAAATGGCAAAACCACACCTTTTCATGCAGGAAAGCAGAGCTCCACCATCACTCAGACCACCCACCCAAGCGAGTGACATGAAAGTGGTCCCCAACAAAGCTGAGATCCAGTTAAAAAGAAATTAAGTACAATTTACCCCACGTTTCTTGATGGCCTTGTTAAGCAGCCTCACAACATCTGCTCCCTCCACTCCACTTGCTTTGAAGCGCTTCGTCCAGGTTATCAGAATACCCTGATAAAACAAGACAGCAACATTCAACATAATACAATAATAAGACACACACTGATTACTTTTTTTCTTAAAAACAAGATTTGATACTGCAAGTGAATCTTCACGTCTCTTTTCTTATATGGCCTAACAACCCAGCGTGAGACAACTGGTGGTCTTTGAGTCTAGTCACAGTTTGCTGAAAGATGGAAAATTGTTTTCCCCTCCCATGTTAGAAAGTGGTGTGTCTGCATTTTGTATTTTCAGCCTACTCTTCTCCCTGTTACTCCTCGACAGTTTTTCTTGGAAAACCATTTAATCCTTTTGGACCATGGAAATAGACTGCTTTCAGAAAAAGCTGACTGTGCGGGACCGACCACAGAGCAGGGATGTGCTGTTGGTATGTCCAGGACTCAGGGCAGTGGGGATCAGGCTACTGCACAGCTCCTGCCCAGCTTGTTTAACTGTGGGATCACGTTTATGGGCTGAGGTAAATGGAAATACTGGAAATGTAGCAATGTATGTCCCCAGTTTACAGCACGGATCAAAAAGGAAATCCTGGTATTGAATTCTTTGTCTGCAAACTGTCATGAAGAGCCTGCAAATCCCCCAAGGTAAGGACTTTTGCTATTTACAAAATGACTGGCTGAATCAGAGCATTCAGTATACAAGTAAATAGTAATAAAAGAAAGAAAAGAGCATTGACAGTAGTCAAGAGGAAAGACAACTCAAACCAGCTCAGCCTTCCATACCCACAATATTCACATCTGTCACAACAGAAGCCCAGGAAGCTAAAAACCAGAAAAGCTGAAGCCTGTAGGCACAAGCAGCCATTGCCCAGGTGTATGTTTGCCCATATCTCAGCTTAAAAATCAAATTTGCCCTCCAAACTGGGATAGCTACAGGAGACAGAGGGTCAGGGCAGCTCTTTACAGACCAGGAGGTATTCTCCTACCACTAGACCACAAACTCAGGTTATTAAAGTTTTGTCACTGTGCTGCTCTCGTTTAGAAACCTCATTTGACATCATTTAGAAACCCAGCAAAGCCCTGTTCTGCTGTGCAGGGAAACCACGGGCAAAGCCCTCTCTGCTGGCACAGCTTTAACAGGCTAAAGGGCACCTTGTTCCACATAACTTTTATAAGAAACTGGTCAAACCACACTGGCAATGAGCAGCTCCTCTCAGCTGTCTGTGACACTGTGCTGGAAGGAGTTTTTGCCCTACCAGCAAGGCCTTGGCAGCAGGAAGGAGCCCTTGGAGTGCAGCAGGGTTGAGTGAGACCCAACCATGCAGTGTCCACCTTGTCACCCGTGGAGAAACTAGGGACCACCTTGCCTCCTTTTGCCCACCAAGCACAATGAAACAGCACCCAGGCAAGCACAGCCTCACAGAAGCAGCAACCCAGGAACAAAGCTGACCCACAGAATCCAGAAAAATGTATTTTTCAAACAGCCAAAACATCACAAAAACTCTCAGAAAGAGAGGTGAGGGGTTTTGTTGGATTTGTTGGTTTTTCTTTTTAATTAAGAGACACCTTCCCTTGTCTCTTACTACCCCCACTGCACTCTGCCTCTGCACCCCACATGCTGCCTGCCTGCCCCTGCCCCACACAAGCATCATTCCATCCCAGCCGGCTTCAGCAAACCAGCCCACAAACAAGTGCCTTCCATCGTGCAGCTGAACAAACCTCCCAAGGGCAACTCAACTCCACAGCCACACCCCCAGCACGGCTGGTCAGGAGCCTGAGCCTTGCCATGCACCATGGCCAGACAGGAGAGCTGCACCAAGGTCAGCTCATCTCTCCTGATCCAAGGCAGGGAAAGGCAGCTCCCTGTTCTGAGACCCTGAGGTAGTCAGCACCCTGGGGCTCAGCTCTCAGCACCGCTCGACAAGTATGAAATGTAATAAAAATCGTGCCTCACCTGGCCCTCAGCACCAGCATCTGGGGGGCTGTTGCACCAGGCTAACCTAGAGACCTGCAAGCTGGAAAAGCAGGTCGGGCTTTAACAGGGCAACCTCTGTGTTTGGTGAAGGTTTAACTTTCCTGCACTCACTTGCTACACCGTTGCCATGGCAATGCTGTGCCAGGAGGCTGCTGAGTCACTTGTGATACAGTGAGCAAAAGGAGGAAAATCCCACAGTATCCTTGCGGTGGGAATTCAGTCCGTCGCTTCACAAGGCTGGTTAATCCTACCCTTTTTAAAGTAGGCTGGCCCCAGGTGACCTGCCCGATTGCCCTCAGTGCACCCAGCCTGTGCCATGGCTTATGCTCAGGAGGGACACCTGGATCCGGATCCGTGGGTACACTTGTGAGGGTCAGCAAAACCTGAGCAAACCCTGCTGGGCTGGGTCCCTCCCAGTCACACCCCATGGAGAGGTGAAAAAGGCTGCACAGGAGGCAGGAAAAACCGCCACCGTGTTTATGGGGTAAACCATAACGCTGAGGAGCTCACCCAGGGACAGCACAAAACATCAGATGCCTCTTCCTCATGTTACCCAGCTCTTTCAAGCAAAAACATAAACACAAACACAGTCTGCCAGTGAAATATAACACTCATTTATCCCCAAAATGAGCCCTGTCTGGGATGCTGCTTTCATCACAGTGTTTTAATAACACAGCAGCTCTTCTACATATTAAGAGAATTGTGAAATCTTCTTACCTCATCTAGCTTGGACTGTCGACAGGGGAAAGAAAACGTAAACCCGACTGGCAATTTCTTGTCTTTGATCTGTTGTTTCTCCATGAAGTCTCCCAGGCACTCAGCAACGTGATCAAAAAGCTATAAGAAAGGTATAAAACCACCATGATTAGATATACAGCTTCGGAGAGAAAATGTTTCAAGTTCCATAATGAAAACTGCACAGGGTGAGGGGAAAGGGGAAAATAGCTGCTGCTCCAGGCTTTAAAAGATATATAAATGGCATAGCTATGAAAATACTCTCAGGCAGTGCACATTAACATTGTAATAATTAATAAACTATGAAATACATTGTCCTTTTACACACCTAATTCTGCAGGCATCTATTACACCCATATAAGAACACTTTTCATGAAACAAGGGGCTCTTGGCTCTCAAGCCTGCTGCAACCCTTCCACTTAATATTTGATGAGATCAAAAATGTTCTTTTAACCTTTCAACAACAGGAAGGAGAATCTCAAAAGAACACTTGGGATCCAGACCCACAGGAGGTTAAGTACTTTTATAATGACGCAGAGAAGATAACATCTGCTTCACTCAAGCATTGCTGAGACCAGAGAACCCAGCACTCTGCAGGAACCACCCAAAAGAACATCCTCTCTCAAATCTATTCCTAAAGCACACAACAAACAAACAAAAAGAACACCCAAGGGATTCGTCTGAATATTTTACATGCTCTGAGAAACAACCCAAAATGGGGACATTTTCTGCCTTTTTCTAACTGCTGAACTATGCAGGCAGCCTGCACCAGGCTTGTGGGTACCAATTCCCACCCAGTGCCTTGATGGCACCTGTGACCACTGCATGATGTGTCCCTGCCAGCCAGGTCTGGAACCAGGCAGGCGCAAAGGCCTCTCACACCAAGCCTTTTGGAAAGCCCCTCAACACTCAAAGCTGAAATCAAGTCCAAGCAATTAAAGCAACAAACATACACATTTGTATTTACCAGTACCAGAAAGCCAGACATGCCTTGAACTGACTCGTACCACAAATGGATGGTAAACTATTAACAAGTCGCTGTCTGCCCCAGGAGATAACTGGGCTTCACATTTTAACTCCCTGGAAAAACAAACAAACAAACAAACAAAACCCCCCAACCCTATCTGCAGCAGCATTGGTGGGACAAGACCAGGTAAACTGCCCAGGAGACTGGGACTAGCTGGGAAGGAGTACAAAAAGCCATCTGTTGTGGTTCCAATTAGCCCACATGGCCTTATTAAGAACAATTTAGAATCTTGGAGAGGTGGGAATGCACTACAGACAGGCTGCAGCAATTACAAATGATGAACAGGAATATTCTGCCCTTTGAGGCAGGTCAAGAATCGGTGCGTGTAATGCTACAATTAAACTGAACACCTTAAACCCATTCTTTAATTGAGGTCAGATTTGATTAAGCAGAAGAACAGTAGTTTCCCAGAGAGAATGTTGCCATTCACTGTCCTGGGCAAATCAAGGACATTTTGCTGAGCCCACGCAGTGAAACAACATGGGAAAGAATGTACACTGCTGCACTTCTGGAAGACTACTTTCAGCTATTCAGATTAATGAGAGAGGAAGAGGAGTTATGAAAAGAACTATAGTTAAGTAACAAAATATGAGAACTTCTCCAGGAGGAACACAGAAAGAGCTGGAGTGTGTGTTTTGATTATGCTTTTCATCTGAAAGTATCTTGCTGAATACTCAATACTACTAAACTTTCAGCTGCTTCCAGGATTACAAACAAAAGCCAGGGGCCAACGTCAAACCCCTGGGGAGTTCAGAGAGCAGGAAGCAGAAACGTTGACTATGTATGTTGCTACAAAAATCCCTCTCATGCAACGAACCACAACTGCACAGAGAAGAGACGAGATCTGCTTTGTAAGTCCAAAGGCAAAAAATCCCTGGGCATTCCCCATGGACTCCAAAGAGTCTGTGCACCTGCTGTGTTTGCCCAGGCAGCCCTGGTAGGACCTGCTGAGGCTGAGCTCTGAGCTGGCAGTGCTCTGGGAGTCGCTCGGGTTCTGGGCTGGCAGCAGGCACGCGAGCGTAACCCGGGCAGGAGGTGCAGTTAACTATCAGCCACGACCTGGGCACTGCAGGAGCTGTGTCTGGTCAGTGAGGCACAGCCTGGCTGAGCTACTGTTCTTTACACAGCACAGAGGGAAGGCAACACCCAAAAGCAGAAAACAGACAGGCACTTATTCATTTTATACCATGGATGTTCGTAAGTCTTTCCCTAAGGAGACTCAAGGCAGTGTCTGTATGTGCCCATGCCCACGCTAACATCCAAACCTTCCCAGTGCCAAAGGACTCTGACAGAAATCTGAGGGAACATTACAACGTTCCTGTGGATTTCACTAAAGCAGGGAAGGTGGACTGAGATAAAATCCAAATCCCCGTTCACCTACAGGTGTGTGGTAGGGAACAGTGTGAGCCAAGCATTTTATCAAATGTCCAAGATGGACAGAGCGAACGCCGCAGCCAAGAGGGAAGGACCAGTCTGATTTCACACATTTATAAAATTGAAGCAATACAATCATGAGATGCTGAGCAATAGATCAGGCTTCATTAATTCCTCTGGCCATGAAGTTGCCTGCTCAGGCTGGGCTCCAAGAGGGCTCCACAAGGACACATTTAGCTGGCAGACAGGAGATTTTGGCAAGCAACTGAAGATCCGAGCTCAGGCTCAAGCTCCCAAACGGGGATGTTTTAAGGAGCAAGGAAACCACAGTTTCAGATCAGAACAGCCACAAATCCATAACCTATCTCCAGTGGCAGCAAAACACAAAAAGCAACAGCAAAACCAAGCCTTAGCTATGCTCCTCTTTGCTGAGCTGACATAGAAGACAGGCTTCTTACAAATTTTACACCTGCTATTTCACCACTGAAATCAATGAGAGTTTTGCCCTTGATTTTGACAAGGAATAGACTCTGATTGGCAAAGCTGTCAGACCATGCCTAACAGATGGGAAAAAAAAAGAGGTTCGAATGCCATGAAGTAGAAAATATCAAAATGAACCATGCTAGTGAGCCATGAAGCCATAAATCACAATCCTGCAATAAGCTGATTATGTACTAAGCTTTATGAGTATAACTCACCCAAGTTAATGACACAGCTTGCTGGAAATCATTAGTAGCCTACCCCAGACAGGCAGTTCAGTCCAAGTATTCCACAAACCTGGCTCAGAGGTTTCAGGAAACCTCCACCATATCCATCAGTCAGAAGCAACAAACCATCACCTGTCTGTGCCTCCTGGGCCTGTGAAGTCACACAGCAAGCACTGGATATTGTCATGGGACAACTTCAAACCTGGCTGTAATTCTGATGATGCTTCCAGTTCTTCTTCTCCTGGTTCTCAAACACTGGGAGTAACTGTGCCCACGGGGTCAGTGGAAGCCTTGCTTGCCTCTCTTTCAGCTTAAAAGCCATGACAAAGCCTATCAGCCTGAGCTCCACACTGCTGCTTCCTGACAGCCAAATGGTCTTTGGGTATTTAAAAATTAAACCACAAGCATGACACAGCTGTGGAAAGAAAGCAGACCTGATGTCTCCTTTCTTCACTTCTCTTGATCACCCTTATCATGTCTCCATTAAGTCTCCATACACCCATCCATGGACACACAGCCCCCTGCTCCCAACCTGCCCCTGAGCAGCCCACCCAACTTCCCCTCCTCCACCAGCACCAGGCAGCTCAGCTCAGCTCCCCTCCAAAGTCACTCTGTGGGAAAGCCACTGCATGACCTCTTGGCCCAGGAATAAAGCAGTAAGGTACGAAAAAGTCTTTACAAGAAGGTTATTTTACTGCTGTGGTTCAGATAGCACAGTAATGCTGTCACCAGTTCTACTGACAGGCCATGATTGCCACCTTACACTCACTACTGCATAAGAATGCAGCAGATACATACATTAAGGGTATTAAGGTGACTACAGAAAATATATTAAAGGTAGAAATGCTGTTCCCAGAATTTTTCTTTTTCTTCTCCTTTGTTTATTCTTCTGAAACAAGCTTTAAGTTACCTGCAGGTCTCATACTCCTAAGCAGCACCTCATTCGAGTAAAAAGTGTAAAAACCTTGCTGTTTCCAACAATGAAAATTATTTGTTTTGCCTTACTCTGACGCGGAGACAAATCTGTCAGTAATATATTCATTGTAATCCACTTCCTGATCATAAAAAGAAAATAAATTCCTCCAAAGAACCCAATTTGAAATCCAAGTGAATGGATCCAAACATTTTCTACTCTTGGAACACGGGGAAATAAAAAAAATAATAATAATAAAAAAAAAAACAACAAAAAAATGTTCAATTATTCAGCAAAACTGAAGTTGAAGCTGTGCCAAAACATTCTATGAGCTTCCTGTAATTTTTCTAACGTACTTGTACTTTTCATGAGTGCTGAGTTGCTCAGACTGCCGGCACAGATATTTGGCTGTCATGGGGATTTCTATCCCTCACTTAACACTACAATTGCAGGGCTGGTCATGCTCATTGCTTACAAAGACTAAGTTGTTTTCCTGCTCTCCATTCGTGCTCATGGAAAGTAACTTTACTATAAAAGCCAGAATTTTTATTTCCTGGTCATTTTTTCCCTAACTCATCCAAAAGTCTCCCAACAGGATGACAGCAGGTTTGCAGCAGCCATGGATGCTCTGTTACACTAAATACTGCTTATTATTTCAGTATCGACACAGAAGTCGAGTCCCTGCACGCTACAGGTGCAGCTGTTAAGATGCTACGGTCATTCCTGTGGGGCTTTCCTAAAATCTAAGCAGCTAATCTTTCCAGACACCTCTGAGGGAAGAGGAGCTTACCCGTGTCCCGCTGCCATGCATGATATCTTCAGGGGTGTTATAAATTTCACTTTCCATCTGCACCGTCTGCTTCTTTTCATGCGATACCTTCACCCGCAGAATTCGGAAATAAGAACCACCAAGGTCCAGTGCAATGAAATCTCCTTTCTCTACATGGAAAACAAGATACAGGTGATTAAAAACTGTATGCAGCACAAATCTGGAAAGTTAAGTGCAACACAGAAGCGAAAGTCCAGTGCCTACAGCAAGGAAGTTCTACCCACAGGGCATCCATGCGAACATCAACCTGATTCCCTGCAACTTAACGTGAAGTTGGTGGAATGGCAAAACCAACCAAAACAGGCAACTGCAATGAGGGTTTCTCCAAAATCATTGGACTAACAGTGGACAGTGTGTATCCAGATCTCATGATGAAGGTGCCAGATCAAAGATCTCAGGAGAAAGGCAAAAAAGATGTGGAAAACAGACAGTAAAATGAAGGGATGCCAGACCACTGATGAGCAGCCTTTTGCTGTAAGTAAACCTCTGTCATTTTGGCAAATAACCCTGAATAGTGGCTGGATTGTGCTTACTCCAAAATCAACAAATTATACACAGACGTAATTAAAGTAGGAACCACTTACTTTGCACCCAGAAAAGCTGAGATTCACTGCAAACTGCAGTCAGATAACACAAGTCAGAGAAACGACAGCCTGAAAAAACAGCTCTGTACTGCTGCAGGAGTTATTCACAAGTTGTGATGCCTTGCCCAGAGCTCCTAAATACCTCCCCAGGAGCCAGGGAAATACTTAGAATACCTCCATCTCCCTCTGTGGTGGAGAGGTCTGAAGGCAAATCCACTACCCTCCAACCTCCACAGACTTCAGGGTGCAGTTCAGGCCTGGCTATCTGAGGAATGACACTTTCAGCACCCCGGGGAGAGCGAAGCAAACATATCTGACTAACCAACTCACCTTATCAATGTTATCTCACCTTATCAATGAGAGAGCAAAGGCAGTGATCGTTAAAGTCCTCGAAAAGATAATATTTACGGAAGCAGAGTGCACAGTTTATCCCCCAGGAGTGTGTGCCCAGGCTGCAGGGAATCCCCAGGGCTATCTGCAGGCATTCCTGTCTGTGCACGGCATCCACCAAAGGCACACAGAGTTTTCTCATCCTACTTCCTCGTCAGCTGTGACTTTAGGAAGGTCACTCCTAACACTTTTTCCACTTCTACCTAAATTCAACGTGGAAAGACCTTTGACAGCTAGGAAGGCAGTTTGGTCGTGTTACCTCGAACAAACTCCACGAGGATTTCCGGAGCCAGACCTGCCTCTGAGATTACTCTGTCTAATCTCAGATCAAAACTCCGAAGTCTGGTTTAGCGAGCTGTTCCTCCTCCTCATTGTACCATGCACCTCTGGGAGCCTTGTCTCGCTCAGCAAAGCTGATGAGCTGGACAAGGCGTCCCTCAGGGCAGGATCTTTAACAGAAACAGACCAAGAGAGGCAAAAGCACTGCAAATGCCCTTATGGTTTTCTAAGGATGCAATACAGAAACAAAACACTGCCACATGAGAAACCACAAAGAACAGTAAGCTCCATACAGAAAAATGTAGCAAAATGACAGTGGGAGCCCCCAATTCTAATAATCCTCCCAGTTTTACTGTGCTGCAATGCAACTTCTTCTTCTTCTTGCTGCTTAAGACGTGGGCAAACTCAGTTTGCCAAAACACAGATCTTGCAGTGCTTCCCTACCTGTTCCTGAGTAGTGCGGCTTTAAACATCACTTTTTTTACCAGTACAAATGTCATTTAAAATGTGAACATACCCAAACACATCCAAAAGGAGATGCAGTTCCCCTTACTGGGCTCAGCATAACAAATTTAGCAACTCATAACCCCTTCACCACAGCAAGTCCACCAGTCAAACATTGACCACAAGTGCCTCATTAAGCCAAATACTCATAAGATAAAGCTTATTTGGGTATCATCTGTTGAGTGCAAGCCACTACCTCCACTAATGGGAAAATCAACAGTGGAGCAGATGGCCCTTTTTCAAGCCTAAACGCACATCAGTACATACCTCAAACAAATACTGCACTTCAGAAATATCTCCCCTGTAAAAAAATTAATGGGTTAGCATGCTTGATTTCCAGCACCATCAAGCTCATTGCAAGGTAAAATTTATTAAGAATTATCCTTGTCACTCAAAAAGATCTCTGAACTAGATGTAAAGCTTTCTTCATTGCAAAGTAGCGGTTTTCTTTTAGTGTATTTCAGGAATTAAGCCCAAGTAGCAGCATTTAATCTGTGCTTTGCAACACCAAGGTGCAATCAAACCTGCCATGAATTTATTTAGGAAGAGCCTCTGACAGCATTTTGAATTAGCTTAAGGTACCATTCTGGGCACTCTGCACAAAAAAACCTTGTGGCTTTTGTAAATAAAACCAAATCTGAATGAAGCAAAAAAACCCCCTGCTAACACCAACACCTCCAGGGTCTCCAGAATTATTGCTCACAAACTCCTTGTTAGAAAAGTACACAAGCAAAGATCTGAAACTAAACAACAGTATTTTTCTGAATAGTCAGCTCCCATAATAATAATTGGACTCAGAGGAAAGAGCTTACAAGGCAGTAATGAGAGACAGGCCAGAGAAAAGGGCAGGCTTTCAGCCTCTGGCTTTCACGGAGGGACAGCTGAAGGCACAAATTGCCATCTTTGGGCACAGCAACACGGTCACATCCGTGAGGGGCCCCTAGAACCTTCTGGAGGAAGAGGGCAGGGGGCTCCATGTCTGCCCTGGCTGCACCCGTGTGGTGGCTGAGCCAGGCGTGACAGGCACAGGCGGGTGAGTCAGGGAAAGAAACACCACACCCACCCACAGCAAATATTGCTCATACCTGGGCTCGGAATATGCCCTGTCAGGGAAAGAAGGGAATGGTTGTGCCTGCTTCACTAACAGCTATCCAAAGATACCCTCACCACCTGCACGTACGGATCACTATTGTGTTCTACAGAAATTGCCTGGCCAAAGCCCTGCCTTGCCCTAATCCCTGCTGCAAAGCCCTGCCCAACCTGGAGAGGCTGGCAGGAGCCAAGTGGGCACAGGATCAAGAACTGAGCACCCTGTACACAACACACAAGGCTGCTTTTTTAAGTAGGTGTGTCATACATGATCTGAAATTAATGCCTTGGCATACACACATGCCCATGCTCAGCCAGGGCTACCCACTGTTCTGCCTTGTCCTCAGTCCCAGCAGCATTCAGCAACCTCTCAAACCTCTCCTGGCCCGGTGCATATCCCCTTTTTCCTGTGCCATATGGCATCTCAAAGTCTTCCCAGTTCGTACCACAGAACAATTCACTGAATTATCTGACGTGCCGCCAGCAGCTCAGACCTGGTGCCCTGCAATGGCTGATGGAGCAGGGTAGGGGGACAGCTCAACTAAACTCAAACACACATGGAGGAAAACACAGGGATTTCTGAGCCAGTTAAATTGCTGGGATTCTATGCAAAGGCCCTCAAGTCACCTCACCTCACCTGCGAATCCTCAGTGCAACCCCTGCCCATGACCCAGCTGTATGTAGTAGCTTTTAGCTTTCTCAACAGGTTGCAAATTTCAAAACAGTATTTCAACATAACAGCCAGCAGTGCTGAATTACGGGGAACACAGCATTCATATTCATTCTCCCTTTGCTTTTTTTTCTTAGACAGAGACTCAATTCTCAACTAAAATGCTTAAGGTGGCAGAAAGCAACAGCAAAGCAGAACTATCAAAGATTTCCACCTGCCAGACAGCAGCAGGAAGTTACACAAAGCACCAGGCCTCATGTTCTTTCACCAATAAATTCTTGATTTTAACCCAAAAAAAAAGAAGAAAGCCTCAAAACAGATAACTCTGTTATGCAGTTCTTGCAACCTTGCAATTTCTGCACACAGGGACATAATTTGTGGTAGGCACCAAACTAGTTAACCTCCTCACACTACGTGAGAAGGAAACCCAGTGTCACTACTAAATAATAAACACTATTATATAATGTTTATAAATATATTTATGTACTCCATATATGGTATTTATTTTTTACAGACACCAAGTAATTTAGAAGTAACAACAATAATTAATAGAGGTAATCTTGGTCTCAAATACCAACACAACATCTTTTTGGTTTCTGATAGCTCTTTGTTCCACTTTTATCAGTACAGTGAGCACAGAAAAACCAAGTCCTACATCTGGATGGAAAAAGCTTGGTACACTAGAGCAGCAGCTTTGGAGCCACATGCTGCAACCTCCTTGAGTTCTGTGACTTTTCCCCCAAGACAGTCTGCAAGGGACAGCTACAAAATAAAAAACAAATGCCAGGAAACTCAAATTCAGACTTCCACTGGGGAAAAAATAAGGAGAAGGAGATGTTGAGTGAAGCAGCAAATGACTAAAAGCCACTGTATTTGTTAAGATCTAGATGACATCGGTGTAAACTGCACAAATCAAAAATCATCCTATCTGAAGTATTGATTGTTGGCAGACAAGTCTCAGAGTACATGTATTGACTGATAATGAACTGTTTGCTAGGAAGGCCTCTTCCATTGGCATCAAAATGGCTTTGACACAGGAATCACTAAATCTTCCAGCATCTGCGGGAACAGACCTGCACACAGAGGGGGAGCTGCCTTCAAAATGCTGCCTGGGCTTGCCAGGAAGCAAATCCCTCTTGTTCTTGGTGGCAACTAGTGTATTTCTAACAGGTTTCCACGAAGCACATCATGTTTAACACGGAAAACAAACACCAAGCTTCTTACCTGAACCATCAGGAATGGACCTGACAAACGTGGGAAGCATCTTGACTGCAGCCGTGGGGTTAAAATCCCTGGAGAGGCCGTTCTTCATCTCCCTCCTGAAGCGAGCCATGACATCCAGCAGCGTTTCGTCGGAGAGCCGCATGGCGTAGAGGTATTTATCAATCTGGGGACAAACACACACCACCATGGAGTGGAAGACTGCCCTGAGGCACCCAGGTGGGGCTACACCTCTCCCTAATTGCAAGGAGAGTGTATAGCCCCAGCTCAGCCTCAGGGCTCCGGCCAAGCTGACAACACAGCCGCATGCTTCGTGCCTTGTCTTTTGACTCCAAATCATGGAAAACGGGAAAGCTGCACATGAGCTGAAGCCCACCCCATCCTACTGCTTCCCAAGGCACAACCCAGTCCCACTGCCTCCTCTTTTCCACTCAAAATGGTCTGCCCACAGCCTCTCACTACCTCCAGCCCTTGCTCCACTTCTCAGCTCTCCTGACTATCCACGAGCTGAGCTAAAAATCCCTCTTTTGGCACCCTGTCCCAGCTGGGGTGATGCGGATGTCAGAGGTGCTTTGTATTTAAAGCCTTACATTGGGAAGGATATGCCACACCAGTTTCGGGGCTACATCCCAGGCTGAGGAATTATTTCAGTGCAGCAGACCAAAGCTATCACAGCCAGAGGGTCAGGAGAGGCAGAATTTGGCTGTGGGCAGGTGGCATCTTCCTCCATCAAATTAAAAGTTGTTGATTTTTCCCTTGTGGCTTCCAATGACAGGAACTTTCTTTACCTCCCTGGAAAAAGGAGGCAGTTCTAGTTTTCCAACAGTATTGCTTTCCATAATATTACAAGCACCTTCACCATCAGGAAGACAGAGATGCTTTGATGCCCAAAAATACAACTTGTCCTTGGGGGTTCTTGCCAAACACACCTCCCACCCCTTTCATCTCAGCTGCCAGTCTATTCTCACCTTGTTTCTCTACTTGCCTTGGAAATTTGGTTCTGTAGATGGCTCAGACTAAAGCCACACCTTCAGGATCACTTTTGCTTTCGGCTTAGCAGGACCAAGAAAATAAAACCCTGCCCATGTTTTCTGTCCTCAGTAAAACTGGAAAAGCCACCTCGTTTTAAACCTCAGGCCAGCTCTGCGCCAAGGGTGCTCTGGAAGCCTTGAGAGCAACTCATCTCCAAGCTGGCACTATGTCTTACAAGACCAAGGCCACAGTAAAACACCCCATGCAACACATACATATGCAAGTGCTCCATACTCCAGGGCCTTTGAGATGGGAAGTGATGAACAATGCCATTCACAAAAGAAATGCAATCAAAATGTAATTAAACTCTAAACTGACCATAAAACCAGTGCCGATTTAATGGCTCGTGTAGAAAGTCCACCTGCCACGTGTAGTCAAGGCCTGCACCAAAGATAGTGTATCTCCCTGACCCAGGCACCCTCAGTGACCCAGCAGTTACGTACACAGCCAGGGAGGAAGGAATGGATGGTGCTGCTGGGCACAGCTACCCAGCCTGATCCCAGACCACAGGGCTGGTGCCAGGCAGGCCTGGCCACAGGGGACAAGCCAGAGGCTGCACAAGCTATGAAGTTTTCCATGTCATTGATTGCAGAGGAAGAGCAGAAGGGGCTGTAACAGTGCAACAATACCATGATTGATAACACCACGATGAAATGAGACCATGCATTTTCCCCACGAAGCGGTGACGTGACAGTGCAGGCGTACAGCTAAATGGCAGAAGAGCTGAGCTCAGGTTCTCTGCAACACAGGCCAAATGCAAGACCCCAGGGCAGCATCCCCACATCCCAGCTGTGTCCTGTGCCGCCCTGATGGGCTGACAGCCCCTTCGCAGTGACAACCGCAGCCAGTCACCAGTGTCATTTCACTCCAAGAATAAAATCCTGGATGGGATGTGCCCTTTCTGCAGCCCCAAACGCTGTGGGGAAGGATGCAGAGGCTGCTGTCAGACTGAGTAGGAAAGTCTCTCCTCTGTGGCAAACCCTGACATGTTTTTTTTTTAGCAGAGTGTGTAAAGCCATGATGTCAGAGGATGAGGCTATTTCTTTTTAAAGGAGGGGGGAAACAACTCTTTTTCAGGCTGAGCTTTCAGCAGCCCACGCTGCCGTTCAGAGGGGTGATCCCCCAAATCTTCCAGTGAAAGCTACACTAACACATCATTCACACAATCAGACCTCACTGTGCAATTAATACACCCCTCTACAAAGCCCCACTGCTGCAATCCTCCTCCCAGAAACAGGAAGGAAGGATTCCACCCCCCACCGAAAGTCCTGTTGTGAACGCAGGTTTTGGCGTTTGCACAGTCAGGACTGACAGACCCATTCTCCCCACCTCTGCCCCTGTGCTGCCCTCAGCAGGGAGGGAAAATGGGAGGGAGGGCTCTTTTTGCTCCTGTGGAAACCCAGTGAACGTGTCAGCGCCCTTGTATAATTGGGCTGGACCCTCCTGCCCTCGGGAGCATCGTGTAGCACCAAGGCCATCCATCTCCACCACTGAGACCCACAGGGAGGAAGGCAGGGGACACGGAGCCTCTGCTTGGAAAAAATCACTCCTGTGTGTTACAGCTTCCAAAACCAAAAAAAAAAAAAAGGCAGGGTTTTTTTTTTCTCCCAGGCAGGAAAAGGGTTAGTCATTCCAGCAGTGTGGCGGCAAGGGAATAAGCGCTGCTCTCCTGTGCTGGCAGTACATGCTCCTGTTTTCCCTCTGAGGGAAAACTCCCAGCAAATAGCCATAAATAACTTGGGGCAGGGGGAGCTGGAGGCTGGATTATGGGATGGAGATTTAATAACTCCCAGCTCTGTCTGCAATAAAAGCCGATCAGAGAGCAAATCTCAGCCTGATCCACAGGGAAGCTGTGGAGAGGCTGGCAGGGACAGACGGGAGCTGCTGGCAGCACCCAGACAGACTCACAGTCCCACTGAGGCTCCCATGGATGGGAGTCAGGTGCCAGCCCTTCCCAGGGGATGGCAAAGGGCAGGAACAATTTCAGGCAGGCAGTTGTGTGGGCAAGGAGCAGAAAACACTCCTTTATTTAGCTGCCACCTCAGAGACACGCCCCCCAAGAAGGGCACCTTCCCAAAGTGCCATATAAAAGTCCTCCAGAGTGCTATAGGAGTCCTCCAAGAGCTCTATCACTTCTTTTTTTTTTCTCATTTGCTTAAAAAAAAAAAAAAGACAACCAGCCAGACAGAATCTATGAGCAATTTTTTAAAAATAGGATTTCATAATCTGAACCACATTCACGTAATTTTTCCTGGTCACATAGGAAAGACACTCTTTGTAATTGGGGAAAAGAAGTTTCTGAAAATCCAGGCATTTCAGCAGTTGTGAATAATTATAAGTGCATAATGAAACAGGCAGCACTTAATGAAACAGGCTGTTCCTTAAACGCATGCCTCATTCCAGGGACAGTGACAACAGTCACTGGTATCCAAGAAGAGAGCACTCCCACAACAATTTCAGAAATCATTAGCACTTATTTTACTGACATAGCCTTTGCACCAAAACCCTTCACCAAAACGTAAACATTTTTCTGCACAGCTAATCCTTTCAGCACGAATAAAATTCATCAGGAGCCAAGGCATGTTAAAACAAGTAGTTTAAGACATTCTGAAACTGTTTATGCTTACTTATGATTTATCTGATTGGTTCCTAAAAAGCCTTTATAGGGGCAGGTCACCAATAAGGGCTCTTCTTGATGCCAGTTGTTACATTTTACACTCCATTCCATCACGGTTTTTTCAAGGTTAAACAACATTTAAACATGACTCTTGGATTGCAAGATTTTTTCTTCTCTCTTCAGGTAAGACAACAAAAACATATTGTTTCCCTGACAGGCAGAAACCAGGCAACACCCAGAGGCTCCCTTTGCTGGGTTCAGGTACTGCAGGTACAAACCTGTTGGAAACAAAGGGTACTCCAAGGCAGTTTTACAAAGCTCTCCTGCACATTGGCCAGGGGCACAGCTCCCAGGGATGCTCCATGACACCCTTGGCCCTGAGGATGGGAGTTGGCCCTTCAGAGAAATCAGGGTCTGGGTTCAGCTTGTGCAAAGTGCCCTGTCACAGCAAGGGTGCTGAGCTCCTGCTGCTGTACCCACAGTGCCACAAACATCCAGGGAACAGACGTTTTCAAAAACATCTGGATAATTTAAGCTGCTTGGAGCAAACCCACAAACGTCTTTATACAGTACAGGGCATCCCACATTGCCAGCTTGCTGCTGCACAGAGAGGGGACATGCAAGTGCCATTACAGGTGGATTCACTGGAAAATACCCCCTTGCAGGAGCCACAGGGCTGCCAGCATCCAATGAACAACCCCCTCCTTCAACACTACACAGCCACCTTGCCTATTCCTCCTGCTTGCCACAATTCATCCTGGAAAATACTCCAGGAACTACAAATTTGAAAAAAATACACTCAAATTTAAGGGGGTGCGTAAAAATCCAGCAAAATCCAGCACAGAAGCATTAGCTCTTAGATCCAGGGTACCCCAAGGGCCTGGAACCACCAGCCCTATCCATGGCCCTCAGCAGGGCTCCCACCATGGAAAGGCAGCACGGAGCACTAGAGCCACACAGGGATGGGAACACAAAAAAAAAAAAAAAAGGGTGGGGAAATAAAAAAAAAAAAAAAAAAAAAAAGAAGAAAACAGGGTCACAAGGGAAAAAGAATGCTCAGCCTTGGCTTGCTGGTACTTTTAACCTGTTCACACCCCTCCTGTGACTCAGAGCAGCATCCTGAAGGTGACCTACCACCTGTGCCACCAAACGCTGAGCCGATGGCTGCGATGGACCAGCGAGGCAGAGGAGCTGCCACCGTGGCCAGGACACCCAGGGTACAGCGTGGGGAGCAGGGACAATGCCTTGGGTGGCAGCCCTCGGCCCCAGGCACGTACCAGCAAAGTGCTGCCCTTTCCGGAAGCAGAGAGGAGAGGGAGGGACCTGAAATGAAGCCATGCAGGCACGTATCCCTCAAAGCGGCACACTGATGGAGCACAGACCTCGGAAGCAGCGTGCCGAGATGGAGCGAAACCACTTTTGCTCCACAGGGAACCAGGGAGTGGAGCCCACCAGCTCCCAGCAGCTGTGGGGTAGCAGAGCCCCTGGCTGCCACTGACACCCTCCCTACAGAACAGCCAAAGGTGAGCAGCTCGATATCCGTTCCAAAAGCATACAAACAGGAAAAGACGTCTTACATCCTTCAAAAACAGTAGCCTGCCTTTTTTTTTTTTTTAATTGGGCTTAATTTTTTTATTTCCTTTTCCAGACAAAACCAGATCGATCCATTAGAATGCTTTACAGCTCCCTGGCCAAACCATTTCCCGTGCTGTTAGACAATAGGAGCCCCACAGTGCCAAACCAGCCTGCAATAAATAACCCCCAGAACACCACAGTTTCCCTGTGCTCCCTCCATGCCTTCCCCACAGCCGTTCTACCACTGCTGGGCCACCGTGCTCCCTTGTGCTTATCTTGGCTTTCTAAATATAACCCACAGAGCGAGACAGAGAAGGCCTTACCCAGGCATGCATGCCTGGCACAGCAGCAGCACTTACAAATCCTGCGGGAAAAGGAACATAATGGGCCTGGGGCACAGGGAGAGCCACGTCTGTGGGGCCAGAAGGTGCAGGACGGTGCAGGCTGAGCAGCCTCCGGCCCTCGCCAGAGTTACTGGGTGGAAAAGCAGAAGACCTAAACCACGGAAGGAGACGTGGAAAATATGGGGCGCTGCCTCGGGTTTTCTCCGAGGGAGGAGTGGGCACGGGTGAGCACATGTGGAGTGGGGCAGGATGGGTCACCCACACACGGGAGCTAAGGTATCCCCTGGCACAGCTGGAAGCCCGAAGGGAGGAGGTGCTCTCCTTCTCCTGGCTGGGGAGGTTCGCAAGCCCCGGGAACAGTACAAATCAGCGCTGCTCATGTTGCCATTGCGGCTTGCCCAAAATATTTTAGGGATGCCTGCAGCCATGCGGCCAGGTGGGTCACGCAGCACGGCCGGAGGAGGTGGCACAGGGGAAGCCTCTGTTTCCTGACGTCAGCCCGGCTCAGGGATGTTTGCAATTATTTTCCCAATTTGTGTCCCCACATCCCTCGCCCCAGGCTCCCCGCTTCCTACAGCTCTGCAATATGCTCAGCCGGGCCCTAACTGCCGTGTTTTTATTTATCCTGTGCTCCGCACCCTTTTCCTTGTGGTAGTGCTCAATTCCAGGGCTGCACCAACCACACAGGAGCAACCACCTAACGCTGAAGGAAAAGAAAAGAAGCCTATGGAAATGCTCCTTTTTAAGTACAAATGACAACCATTTCCTGTAAATTTTGAACCTGCAGTGGCACATAATTCAAAAACTACCTGCTCCTCGCTTGCTGGAGTGACGATGCCCACAGATGCCCTTGGGAAGAAGGGGAAATACCCTCTCCAGGGATGCTGGTGCCCACCAAAAACCCGAGGAGCCACCATCCTCCGCTCAGTGCCAAAGCCCCCCAGCTCCTGCCTCGCCTTGCTGAGCTCAGTCCTGCGGCCTGAGCCGCCGCTGTGCATCCATCACCCACGCCCCACTCCCATCTCCAGCGGGGATGCTCGGGGCGGGGGGGCGCTTAAAACCAGGGTTATCCCCCTTTCTCCCATAGCTGGGTGGCTCTGGGGACAAAGCAACAAAACCAACGAAGGAGGAAATTTTAGAAAGTGAAAAAAAAAAAGAAAAAAAGAATGGAAAAAAAAAAAAGCGGTGCGGGCGGGGGGCAGCCTTGGGGCGGGGGATGTCCATCTAACCTTTTTGACCTGGTCCTCCTTCAGCTCCGTGAAGTAGTAGGCCAGGAGCTGGGCGGCGATCATCCTGCCGGCTGCACGGCGGCTCCGCGCACGCAGCGATGCGGGGCCGGGGGATGGCCGCGCCGAGCCCAGCCGAGCCCAGCCGAGCGCCGCCCCTTCCTCCTCCTCCTCCTCCTCCTCCTGCCGCTCCTCGGGGCCGCCCCGGCCCCGCCCGGCGGGACGTGTCGGCGGAGGGCGCGGGGCAGCGTTCCCGGCCTGGAGGAGCAGCAGCAGGGCAGTGCCCTGCCGTACCCCGCACGGTCTGTGCAGCAGCCATGGAGACAGCCTGCTGAAGGCTGCCCCGAAAACACACACACACACACAAACCCCCTCCTTCTTGGTGGCCAAGGGCGTCCTGGCCTGTATCAGCAAATAGTGTGGCCGGCAGGACCAGGGCAGTCACTCTCCCCCTGGACTCAGCACTGGTGAGGGGTCACACCTCGAGTGCTGTGTCCATTCTGGGCCTCTCAATTCAAGAAGGACATGGAGAGGCTGGAGCACAAATTTGAGGAGGAGCAGCTGAGGGGGCTGAGCCTGGAGAAAAGGAGGCTCGGGAGTGACCTTATCGCTTTTTACAACCACTGACAGAAGATTGTAGCCCAGGTGGGGTCAGTCTCCCAGGCAACCAGTGACAGGACAAGAGGACATGGCCTTAAGCTGTACCTGGGGAGGTCCAGGTTGGACATCAGGAGGAATTTCTTCACAGAAAGGGGGATAAGACATTTGAATGGGCTGCCCAGGCAGGTGGTGGAGTCACTGTCCCTGGAGACATTTAAGGAAACACTGGACATGGCACTTAGTGCATGGTTTGGTTGATATGGTGGTGTTAGGCATAGGTTGGACTCAATGACCTTCTGTCATTCTGTGAAAATACTCTAAACCAAAGACACAAATCTTTGAGAAAATAGGAAAACTTCAGGAATCTCCACTAAGCCCAAGTATCCCCTGCCTGGGTGTGATCCTGCAGCCCTGGACAGACAGACGAGCTGCTGGAGACCCGCGGGGGACCCCAGAGTCACTCTGACAGTTGTACTTTCAAGGACCCCACATTCATATTCCATCAGAAATTCCCCATATCAAAGGTGGTCTTGGGCACATGGTGTTGATTCTTGGGGTGTCCTGTGCAGGACCAGAAGCCAGACTCGATGATCCTTGTGGGTCCCTTCCAACTCAGGATATTCTATGATAATACACTTTTGGAGAGGTCCTCTCCTCCCTGCATGTGATGCCTACATTTTTGCCACACTGGAGCATGTTCCTCAGCACTCCGAGGAGGCATCCACCACCAGGAAGGGTCTTAGGGCCCACACACACATAAGAGAAGCAACACAACGCCCCTCTGAAAGCTGAGGCCAAGTGCAGATGCCAAGTGACACATGTCAGCAGCCCAAGGGGCTCTTGCCTGCCCTGTCCATCCGCAGGGACAGGAACACACACCCATGCATAGGGTGGTGATGCTGGAGGCGTGATTTGCATAGAGATTGTCTACCACAGTCTAAGTGATTAAAAACCTGCTTCTTGAGTTTCCGGCTTCCTTTTCAGTGCTACTTTAATTAAATGGTTTCACTGGCCAAAATCAAGAGCTGCTTTGGCAGACACATCCTCCTTCAGACTGCCCTAGTCGCTGCAGGCAGGGTGGGCAGGATTTCCTTCTCCGCCTCCAAGCTCCGAGAGATTTTCATCAAGCGTTTCACTGTTCTGCACGGTGTTACTCCTGCTTGTTTGCTTGGCAAGCTAATGAGCAACATTCCCGAGCTCCCTGTCACAGGCAGGCTGCCTGTCTGCGGGCACAGTGGCATCACCCTGCGACCAGGCACAGCAGGAGCTCACAGGCAGCACAGGAACGTGGGGCTGAGCTGAATCATCCCAGTGTCCAGCATCACCCAATCCCTTACACAGGCTGACCAAGCTCTTGCTCAGATGTAATTCACTGCTCAGTCACGCTCCACCCCTTCTGCTGGTCAGAAACTATTTTTAATTCCCAGCCAGGCTCGCTCCTGTTTTCAATCCATCTGTCATCTGCTAAACTGTGTCTTTCATCTGAGATAACTCTCCTTGCTCTTGAGTGTTCACTTTCTATAAACACACTGAAAGTAACCCTACACATCCCCAGCTTTTGCTTCACTTGGTTCTTTTTGGTCTGAACACTGCCTGACACTGCTCACTCCACACAGGTTCTCTGTTAGTGGAGCTGCCTCTACACAAGGTTTACAAACCCTGCTATCTATCTGCTCCATCCCAGACACCTAACCACCACCTAAAATACACAATACTCCCCTCAGGTACCTTGCTGCAGGAAGGCTTATGCAATTAAAACACTTGGACAATCACACAGGTAGACACTTGAGCAGGAGGTGGTTCATGTACGAAAGTCAAGTTAGGGGACAGCTAAACAAGTATTGCAAACAATTGGGTTTGTCTTCAGTTACTGAGTGTGGTATTCAGGAAAAACGAACTGAGCACCCAAAAAGCCACCAGAGAAAATGTAACAGTCCATCCACGGTGAAACAGCTGCAATATTTAAATACGTGGTATTTTTAAACTCCATGCAAGGATAAGAGTGCATGACCAGCTTTGATGCTGTTACCAGCACTGGGATAAACAAGACGGAAGGGCAACTAAATATCCCTGTGGACACCCCAACCCTTTGCAAGCCCTCTTTGCATTGCCAGGCCAGCAGTGAGCACCCAGGTGTTATTTTGGGGGGGCTAGGAGGAGCTGTGCACAGGCCGCCAGGCAGGAGCAACCAGCTCTCCATCTCGGGCTGCAGGAGTCTCGTACCATCGAGCCCTGGGTTTTCCCTTCTGCTTCACTGGAAGGGATCAATTCAGCAGCCAATTAATTACCGGCACCTCCCCTACTCTGCCAGGCATCCAGCAGACTGTTTTGAAAGCCACTGTCCTTTAAGACAAATTACTGGAGGCTGAACGTGACACCTGATGACTTGCAGCTATTTTGATTGCGCTTTAATCTTATTGTCCCTATTTAACTGTAGTCAAGTGCTTCAAGTGACTCAAGTAATTCTGTGCATCAGCCCTCCTGGATGTGTTTTGGGGTTTTTTCCCCCTTTGCCTGTTTCTTCACTCCTATACAACGTGGGGATTTTTTTTTAAATCATGTCCATCACGTAGTTTTGATGAACGCAGCTGTTAGATGCTTTCTACTTTTATAAGTAAACAATTAGGTTGTAGTTGTGTTTGTTGGCTTTTTTTAAGTGTCTGGAAAATGACTGATCCCCTTTTCCTCCCCATTACATTTTCTTTCACAATTCTCAAAAGAAAGTGAAAGAAAGCACCCTCTCTAATAAATAGTAAGTTCCCAGTTAGTGACAGCATCTCTGATTAACAAGGGAATTTTTAGGTAGCCTTTGAAGCTCCCTTTCCAGGGCAGGAAACCACATATCTGCACTAAAGAAATCACTGTTCATTTGTGCTGAACTTAGTGCAGAAGCTACGAAGAAAATCTAAAAGCAGCAGCGATATCGATTTGATGAGCAATTCGGCCAAACAAGGTTAAATAAGTTATGCAACTTCACCTTGCCAGGGGGCACAGCAAGCAGGCACTACCACACACAGCCAGCCAGGATGCTTTAGCTCATGTTTCCCCTATGAGGAAACAAAATTAGCTAGGAATGCCTTGAGGGCAGCTCACCCCACGCACAGGAAAGGCCACTCCATGTGCGGACAGAGCCGCGCACACTCTGAAAGAGGGTTTTATGCTCCTGGTACAGCACACCAAGAGGATGTTTCCAAAAGATGTTTAAGGCACGAGGACTAGCAACAGGTTCTGGCATGGTTTTGGCTTGTTTTGTTGGAGATGCTCCAGGGAGAGGGTGAGCTACTTTTTAATGAAGTCCGGTTAGAAGGATTTTAGCACCATTCACCACACTGAGCATTTGATGGCCAAACTGCAGGGCTACAGGTTTCAAGAGTTAAATCCCTCCAAAGACACAGCAGGATTACTGTAAGCTGTGTACTAAGCAATTAAGGATCACAAACAGCCATGTCTAGATTCTAGACTGTGGCCATGGTGAGAGGACAGTGGAGGAGGAAGCAAATCCAGCAAAGGAGGAGTGTTGTCTACTGGTTCACATGGGAACAGAGACTCCTGGGGCAGAGGGAGATGCTCTGTGTCTCAACTCCCCATACCTGAGCATCAGGCAGATGTGTTGGCTTTTGTTTCTTTAAATTGGTTGCTGTTCTTCAGCATCAGAGGGATGCAGAGACCACGACCCCCACAAACCCAAGAAAACCAGAAAGCAGATAAACACAAGCCCCAAACCCATGGCTTACAATAAAGCTCCCCTATTTGGAAGGCCTAGATGATAATTTCTTTTTAAACCTCTTAGTGACTGCAAGGTTCATTAAACTGGGGGCAATTATTCCATCTTTAGTTAAATGATACTTCCAAAAGCTATGGGCTGCATGAGCTACATTGCAAAGGACTTCCCAAATCTGCACATAGGTGGGGAAAAGAGAAAAATGCTCCCTGGAGTCACACCACCACAAAACTTAACATCTAGCTCCCGTGTTGCACAGCAGAGCTACTCTATGCTGCTTTCCAACCCACTGAAGTTTTCTAACACATCCAGCCTGCTGACATCCCCTGGCACTTCGTATGCAAGTCCACTTACTTTGCTCTTCCCTTACACACTGAAAGTGAAACAAGTGTAATCCATCCAAACTCATCTCTTTCTTATTTCTCCTCCTGTCCTAGGTATTCACCACAGCACCTTCCCTCTCTCCAGTGCCAGAATTACAACTCATTTTACATCTCTGCATAGGAAAGCAATAACCATCCCAGTTTTCTGACTCAGCTGAGGGGTTCTGCATTAGTTAAACATTTTTTTCCACTTAGGTGAGAGCTGCTGCATCAAGCAAGCACTTTTTGTAAGGCATTAGTAGTAAGTCATTATTGCAGCTCATGTACCCATAAAGCAGACCATAAACACACACACATCTACATGCACACAGAAGCAAATCAACAAACTCAGTTTGTAAGGCAATAGAAGGGCCTCGGTCTTCGGGTGATGAGCCCAATGTCAATGAGTTGCCTTTCTTGACCAGGAGATTAATCATTTATTTAATTTCATAAAACATCTCAACTTCAGCAAACTGAAATGAGCACAAATGAACAT